CCGCACTGAAGTATGTGATTGTGATGATGGAGTTCTCGATAAATCTAAAATCGGATTAAGATTAATTGAAAACTCAAGTAATTCTTTGAAATCTTGTGTTGTCTGGCACTATAATAACCAAAGAATGAGAATATTATGTTGAATGATGAGTACGTGTGCTCGGCATTCGCCGAGCGAATTGAGTTTAACGTACTATGAAAAGTGACAAATTTGGGCTTTTTTTCCTAGGGTTATGATCTCTTCCTTTCTGCTCAATACGACAGAAATGAAAGAATGAATTTGTACTCCCTAATTGATTACTACAATCTGTATCTATCTTTAACATAGAATTAGCTGCATTGTGATTTATACTCCAGAATTATTCAATTTAAGATCAACCTCGTAAATTTTAATCATATTGCACCAATACTCCTACGTTGAGATAAGAACATGATTATACATACCAAAGCCCCATATTAAAAATCAAAATTTAGCACCTCCATTATGCAACCACATTATTCGTCGCAAATAAGTATATTTACGCATATTATGATGCATATTCACACAACTCGTATACATGAAAAGTTATTAAAATCAGACAAAATTATTGCAATAAGGAAAAAAAAACAACTTTATTATATATGTTAGTAATGAATTACAAATATTTCTACAAAGAATGCTCAATACTTCATATAATCTTCGAATATTTCTTATTACAAGTTAATACATTTTGACTCGAACATGATAAACAAAAGCTGACACGCTGATTACTACATTTATGAAAATATAGTACGTTTCCATTCATCTGTTTACTTGTTTTTGTTGGAATAAAATCATTTTTTTTTTCTTTCATGAAATAAGAATTTTGCTGCGAAAGCAATATCTCTAACAATAATTAATACATTACGTCAACTCTGGAATGAGTATTTATCAAATATGATATCAAAATCAAAAATTAGTTGTTTTTTATGAGTAAAAACGATGTAAATTGATTATTTGACTAATTATCAAATACTTTGATTTTCCAAATTTTTTTCGAAATTGATTTTTTCATGTGAAAATTCAAATTGTTTAATTTCATTTTTGAAATTTTGAATTTTTTTTGGAATTTTGAGTTGATCAATTCAGCAGAATTGATAATGCTATTGCTTTAGGGCATACCACAAGGTGATGAATAAAAGGTGAACATTAACAAATTATTTTAAATCACAAATATCATCCTCATCAACTTTAATTCTAAAAAGAACTGTACTGAATTATGAAAATGCATGATTTACATTATTAAAATCTTTGAATGAAAATAGTACAAGATAAGTTTTTATTCATTTTTAATTAGATTTAAACGAAAAACTACTCCATATTAAAATTTAAGTCGAGAAATCGTATTTTGTTCTTATTTGTTAGCATTTTGTAGACATTCTAATCTTGAATTAATTTGTTACATGATATTATTAACAAATTTAACTGAAAAAATATGTTAATATGGAATAAACCATGATTATATAAGCTATCAATGCTATATATACATATGTAAAAGATTCATATTAACTCAATTAACAAAAATGATAGATTTTCATAAAGGTTCAATCTAGGTTCGTCCGAAAATTTTGATTTTTATATAGAAGACATAGTTTCATATACATAATTAAATTTTCAAACAAATTTGATCATACCATTTATTAAGCAGGATAGTATATTAATTACTATCAGTATAAAAATATAAAAATATAAAAATGATTATATTTAATTATTGCATAATTTAGTCAAAGAGTTATAAGCCTCAAGTGATCGTTATCACCTTCAATGCACGTATACTTTATTGATTCATAGATATTTAATCTATGTTTGACATGTTGTTGTCGTCATTCGTTTTGTTCCCATTCTTCCTAAGTTAGAATTAGAGAATACACCATCCACATCATCTAATTTGGTCCTCAGCGATAGATTGGTTCATTTTGGAGGAGTCCCATCAGAGAGTTTTCGAGCACCAAATATCAAATTTTAATGTATACAAATCTTTAGTGATTTATCTCTTTTATGATGAGTAAAAGGTTTCTGCTCATCAACATTTGATTTCCGACATATATGATTTCTAATTGCAATTATTTACTTTCTTTTTATAATCTAACTCTGTGACTCATACCATAAATTAATTATTGGAAAGTGTCAATATGTTTGGCACAACGCATGGCGGAAGATACCAAACCATGCAGGGAATATGATACGTTTAAGATCTCCGAACTTTTTTTCCAAAAATTTTCTATCGTTGCCCTACCTCTTTTAATCGAAAAACATTTTATACATCATCGTACTGGATATGTTGACCTGTAATAAACAGAAATTCATCAAAAGTGACAGCTCTCAATTTTTTGACATTTGTAAATTCTAAATTGAATGAGAAAAATGAAATAATACTAAGCATAATACAATATTCTAGATTTAATTATAATTAGGAAAAAGTTAGTTTTGAGAGTACTTTTCATAGGCATATAGAATGAAATCTTCTGAAAAATAATATCACATAAACTCATATTATTTTCTAATATATAACTATTTTATATAAAAATCAAATTCAATGATCTTAAAAGCGAAGGATAAACCTCAAAATTTACGAATATAATGAGTGGGAATATAATGCTTATCTATCATAAAACCATATGAAATATCAATTTTTGCTTTACGCCTAATTTTGACGACAATTAGCAAAAAATGTTAAATGTTAACACTCAGTCCATTTGAATATGAAAAATAAAATTGACTTTGATTAAATGTTTTTATTTATCATGCAATTCTTCTTGCGACCAAAGATTTGAATAAAACTTCAAAAAATAAGATAGCTTAAAAAATAATATACGGTAGTGTTTACTAATAGATGAATAGTATATAAATTCCATTAAAATGGATTTGATCCAAAAAAATATATAAAATTTGATCATAAATAAAATCGTTTTAAATTACTTCTTCATTTAAATGATAACAATTATTTTTGGTTTTATATTTTTTTGGATCAAATCCATTTTAATAGAATTTATATACTATTCATCTATTAGTAAACACTACCGTATATTATTTTTTAAGCTATCTTATTTTTTGAAGTTTTATTCAAATCTTTGGTCGCAAGAAGAATTGCATGATAAATAAAAACATTTAATCAAAGTCAATTTTATTTTTCATATTCAAATGGACTGAGTGTTAACATTTAACATTTTTTGCTAATTGTCGTCAAAAATTAGGCGTAAAGCAAAAATTGATATTTCATATGGTTTTATGATAGATAAGCATTATATTCCCACTCATTATATTCGTAAATTTTGAGGTTTATCCTTCGCTTTTAAGATCATTGAATTTGATTTTTATATAAAATAGTTATATATTAGAAAATAATATGAGTTTATGTGATATTATTTTTCAGAAGATTTTGTGTTCTTCTTCAAAATTTTACTTTTTTATTAAAAAGAATCTTTACAAAATATACATTTACTTTAATTAATATTTAAAAATGTGCTCTATCAAAAGTTCCAAAAATTCAATATTTTAGCTTTTCTGAGGTGTCACTTTTGATGAATTTCTGTTTACAACAGACCTGCCCACAATTTCTACTAGAGTTTTTAATATTACAAACGTTTATTTCAAAAACTTTTTCACGAGTGCTTTCAAAAATTTCAATCATAAACAAAGTTTTTAAAAAAATATTCAAATGAAAATTCACTCATTAATTTAAATTATAAACATAGAATAAATTATTAAGATGTCTCGATGGTTACCTAGTGCATTTTTAATAATGAACTTTCAATACTCAAAAATTTGACAGCTTCACCCTTAGTGGCTCAAATGCAAATTAAACTTGAATAATATTTCAAACAACCCAAGCTTTTATTACCACAATGTATTTTTTGATAAAATGAGAATTACTCTGTTTTCACACCTTCATTATAAAATTCGATTATCTTTCTTTGTTCTGTAGCGCACACTAATATCGGAGCTATTGTATCAGTTCAAAACAATTTTTACCAATTTTTGAATTCCAAATGATCTATTTTTGAAGCTTAGATTGCTTTTCTTACTCCTCTCAATTTGTTATAGCAGAGCTATCATCTTTTTATAACCAATGTACTTTCTTTCATAGAAATTCATCTTATCGTCGTTTTCCATTAATGCGCATCGAATAATCTGAGTACACCACTCTTCAAATAAATGTCTATGAATCCTATCCATCAGATCAATTTATAGAAGTTTTGCAGTTTTAATTATCAAATTAGATATAATATGATATTCAAGTCATCAATCACAACATAGACTGTCAACGCGCAATTGAACTATTTTCAAATGTTCATCATAACTCCCAATAAATTGAAAAATCTTGGACTTCTATTATTCCATATATAAGAGGTATTATTAGATAAAGCATGAAATCAAATCATATTTTTATCAGTTTTTTTATAAAAACCAAAATGATAATAATCATATTAGCAATTAAAGGTAGCACATGCACTGAACATGATTTTTTGTCAAATTTATCATCTTCAAGCCTTTAGCATATTTAAACTTTAATTGATATTAAATTATCTACTTCTTTCAATTAAATACCAACACTAATATAGACAGAATTACGTCTAACTTTCATATTTCTCAAAGAAGTAATTATTCTCTTTAATTATAGACATACCTTTAGAAATTACACGAATTTTCACATTTTTGCCTTTTCGATTATTTCCTATTTGAACAATGCTGATATCCGATTTATCTTCTTAAAAACTTGCACGTTTTTTTATAAAATTTAATCCGATTTTTTATGAATTTTTCAGGTAAAATTCTTTATGATATATCAAAATTCGCAAAAACTTATTTTTTTCTATGCAACCGTTATGGATATTTCATTGAAAAGAAAAATTCTTTTTATATGATAGATTTAGCACCCTGATTACAAATAATACTATATCATTTTATAATTATATTTTTGAGTGTAAGCTTATTCAAATTTGTGAAGTGCTTTCATTAGAATTGTTGGCCAAATGGCCATAATGGAAGAACCTAGAATTAAAACAGGAGAAAATTTATCACGGCGAGTAATAATATCCTTTGATGGTGAGCAAACACCTGAAATGGTTGAAAAAAGATTAATCCAATTGTTTGCACCATATTATTTAAAAGGAGCATTATCCAGAGATGTCATTGAAGATCTATTAATTATTAAAGACTTGCGAATGATTGTACAGAGTTTACGCCTTTGTTCCGGAGCAGATAGAAGTACTCACAAGGATATTTTCTCATCCATTCTACTACAATTCTTATATTCGGACGATATGCTCAAAAAATTAGAAAACTTTGATTTAAAACAGAATAACACTTCTAATATCATAATTCAACATTGTTCCACACAATATCCTAAAAATGATAAATCCTTATTATCACCACTAGAATACATATCTAAAAAATCGAATGAAAATTCATCTGATAGTAATGATATAATTTCCGAAAAAAAAATTGAAAATTCATTAAAACAGGACCATAGAACCGAAAAAGCAGAAGACATAGATAAAGAATTGAATCAGGGCTTGAAAAATACAGTGAAATTATCATTAGAAAATTCTGCAAAGATTGTTTACTTTCTAAATAAGATCAGGAATATTATCCGTGAACTTTCAGAACGAATATTCGAATTAGAAGCTGCAGTTTCTAAGCTTCTACTCAGAATTTCAGAGGCCGAATCAAAGTTTCAAACAAATTGAATGTATTTGATAGAAAGTCACAAAACATCCTATACAACGAAAATATTGTATTTGTTCGTATCATTGTGACTTGATTAATGTCATTCAACTAGTGGGCCCATCTCCTCTTTCAATGTTATTATACATTGAATCAAGAAAGATCAGAAAATATTATTAATTATGTTTGTTATATTATTTATCTGCTAAAAAGATGCGAGAAAAAATTGTATTAATTTTTACATATCGTTTTCTTTCAAATCATTTGAAACATTCAATACCTAACGTCTTAATAATTTATTTTTCAGATCAATTTATTTAAATACATGCATAATAAAGGCTCAGATTTTTGATTTTAATGTAATGTTTGAGTGATTAATTGAATTGTTTATAAAATTGAAAGCAACCTCCGGCAGAAGTAATAAATGTTTATTTTAACAGATCTTTGAAAATCATATTAATATTTCAAGCAATGTTTTTTAATTGAAAAAAAATGATTGCAAAACCTTTTCTCCAAAATTAATTCCTAAATATTTGAATTAATTATAGACTTGGTATCACCTTAAAGCGTTAATAAGCTTAGGAGAATTAACCGAATGTCAGGCGACTACGATGAAATCTGAATACTATATTCAATTAGTGATAATTTTGATCTACTAAACATTAACATTAATCCATGTATTTAATATGTTTGAGGAGCTTTTTCTTAAAACATTTTTGAGAAAAAAAATAAATCCGATCACTCAGATTGAGAGGTTTAGAGTAATCTGACTCGTTTTTGTCGATTTTGCTTCTTAATTATCTTATTCTGGTTTTAATTTAATCGATACAAAAATCGGATGAAATTGAGAAACTCGAAGGAGATCCTGATACAGAAGTATTACAATTCAGATAGTATGACGAATACAGATAATTTTTATATATGAGATCAAAAGTTAATTCTTGATTTCTTATCAAAAATATTTTATTTATCTCTAAATTATTGAACACATGTATTTTATAATTTGCTGTACCTACTTTAACTCGAATTTTATGTAATTAATTAAAGAGATGTTAAAAAATATTATAAATTTTGATAAATATATCAAAATTCAAATTTACATTTAATCTCTAAATATAATCAACATGAAACACATATTTATGTCAATCATATATTCATACGACCTAGTTTTTATCAAAATTTTATATAAATGTTCAAAAATTAAATGTAAACTATATGTATCATTCTGTATGATTTGATTAGCTAATATATAGTTGAATCGCCTTTTTTACAATTTATTTTTTTCTCTTTGTATTTCTATTAAAAATATTATTGTGATGTAACCTACGAATATAATTGATTGTAAATTTAAGACTTATATTCAAGAATAAATTAATTTCATAAAAATTTGAAAGAATAATTTTTTTCGTTTTGACGGATTTGCTGTGATCGATGCATGATGATGAGCATGGACAATGATGTCTTAGATTGTTTTGTTCTGTTTTTGAGTTTTAGAACAGGGGACAATCATATGCAATCAACTTTTTAATAAACGATAAAAGTTTGACCAATAAGAAACGATAAAAAAAAAAGAAACTGGAAAAAAAATTAATATGACAATGCCTTCTCCCACTGATTTAATAGTGTGTGGAGGTACTGTCAGAATCACATACCTCCTAAGTCAGACAGATTACTCGTGCATATATGATGGCTATACAGTCTCCAACAACAAGCCCTGTATTGTAAAACAGTATAAATTTTCAATTGATGAGCCTGCCTTAAAGCGGGAAATTGAATTATTTAAGAACAATAAAGAAGAATTCTTCCCTACATTAATTGCAGGACCATCAGTTGAGAAGGATGGCGTTTTTGCAGCGTTTTCGATTTACCAAGGACAAATGTTGAACATGATGATCGAAAACACATCCTGCCTTAATGCCTTCGAAGTCATAAATGTTCTTATACAGACATATCGCATGATAAAATACCTTGCAGGAAAAAGATATGCGATATTTAAACTATCTCCCAATATTATCAGGTATGACCCAACAAAACCTCACATACAGTTCTTGGAAGCCATTGATTTGCATGATGTTACCAAGGAAACCCTTGATGAAAAGTTGATAGATTCTTTGACTGCCGTCCGAAGCTTAATTCAGAAAGCAATTCCTTGGATGGTTGAGCAGGACTGCGAAGATAAATGGCTCAGCAACGAGGAGAGAATGTTGAACGGATTTTATCGTCAACTACGCGATGAACCATTGAAAACACTCAAAAACCCTATGATGAAGCAAGATCCAAAGCCTATTTCTATTACAGAGGAGCTTGATGCATTGGCTAACAACGCTCTCTATGCATATTAATATAATAATATTTTTGTATTGTTTAATTTTTATTTTGTTATCAATAAATGCTATGTTTTAATTTCATATATACATGGCACGATGGGCGCTACTTTTTTGGCGCCAGCGGCGCCGCCCGCGCCTCCGGTGGCTCCCACTGGTGGGGAGGAGACGATATAAAAAGATATAAATTTTACTAAAAAAATTGAATTTTGGAAATTCTTTTGATATTTTTGAATGATTTACGAAGAGATTGAACACATTTTGTACTATGAAATATCGTTATTAATAAATTTACTTCTTAAACATCTATTAAAATCGCAATTTTGAATATTTTTATGATTTTTTTGACCCGATCACTTGCGCCCGCGCCCACTGGGAGGGGTGCTTGTAAAGTATTCAAAAATCAATGTAAACATTTCAATTTTTGCTCCCACCTCCCATTGGGAGGGGGGCATATATCTTGTAGCGTTCAAGTTCAAGTGATGAAAGTGCATAAGAAAGCTCCTTAATCATACCGATAGAAACAGCATTAGGGGCGCCAAATGGCGCTCGGTGATGTTTCCCATAAAAGCTTAATTTCAGGTATCCATAATCATAACCTGTCAGACGCAATAATTCATTAGCACACAATCATCGTTTCTCAATCAAGAAACGAAACGCACGATTGATTATGCTGGCCATTAAATTTTCATATCAAATAATTTACTACTTCAAGAAAAATTAAAGACTATCATCAACCAAAGCTTAAAATTCTCAGTGTTTACAACTCTCATACTTCGAATATGCATATTTCCAAAATAGCATGAAAATTTTTTCATTTGAGCTCATTTTCTTTTGTTCTATTAACTAATACATGCAGTACAAGCTTGTTATACGTATACTTAATAAGTAAGGTCTTAAGGGAAATAATAAAAAAGAATTTTGCTATTAATTATATTAAACAATATTTATTTGTAATTTCGTGATAATTATATTTCTTATTACAAAGTAAAGGTATTTGATATAATGTTTGCCTTACAAAAATGTTTCCTTTGTCTTGCCACCATAGGTATTCTATTTTGTCACTTTTTGCGCCCGCCGTGCCATGTATAATTTCATATCTTATATCCAATTTTCTATTAATGAAAACTTCTTGGTAATTCCAATTGTTCCAAGAAATTCAAATATTAGAACATTAAATCGAGCACAAACAACATGTAAGAATGGATTCTAAATTAGTCTAGATATTTGACGACTTCAGAACACTCTTCAGAAAAAAATGAGTAGGTGACAAAAGTGCATACTCTTAAACAACCGTCGGATTTCCGGGTGAAATCGTGACACACTTTCGTCTTTCGTAGGCAGTGGTGGTTGTTACAAAAGGTAACTTCGAATGTAGCGTGAAATCTGCAAAAAAAATTCTGAAATTTGAATGGAGAACACAAAAATTGAATAGTTTACGTCAATAAAAAAGAGAAAAATGAAGCCAATGTGTCTCGAACCTAGGACTTAGAGCAGCAATCCCACTGTTTATCCCATTACACTACATGCATCTCTCACCTCAGTGAATGAGATCAACTATATGATAACTTTTTCCCCATTATATTCTTGTGGAAAAGTGACAAATAGCAACTTTGACCCTCTCTCAGAAAAAAATACAGACATTTTATCGCACGCTCAATATCTCCCCATATATTATTCCAATCCAATTTTTTTGAAAGGTTCCCAAAGCCAAAAATGAACTCTGCACATGACAAAAGAGGTCATGCGAAAATTTAATCAGAGAGTAGATTCACCTATCTAAATTTCTCTCTATATCTCATGAGGGATGGGAAGATTTCTTTGATTCAACAATTGATTACACACCATACACAAATGAAAGTAAAATACTCGAAATTCGTTCAACAAAAAATTATTACATCTCTCTTTGTCTCTTTATTTGCCTTAACCAAACAGGCGCAGTTCGTATCACGGACTGCACTGACGACGGCCTCAAATTCCTCATTGAAATAAGTTCATTTGACAGATGTAAGCACTCGAGTCTTCAAGGTGGCTCTTTATACATAAATTGTCAGGGTGAGTCCATTCAAGATAGAATCTGCAGTATTGGTTCAAAAACGCCACAACCAGGTGCTTATTGCTTTATCGAAGTTTCAGCGTATTCTCCATTTAGAAATTTTATCTTTGATTCAACTATAACTTTGAGCGGAAACGAAATTGAGGAGGAACACAGTAATATGGATTTACTTGATGGTGAAATTAATATGAAATCAATAAATATTTCATATTCAAAATTAGATTACTCGAGTTTCTACTATGCTAAAACTGAATCCAACTCAAACGTGACGATGTCAACGTTTTCAAACTGCACGACTCTAATTTCAAGTGGTGCCAACTGTGCAGCATATCATCAAGCAGAGCTTGATTCAGCTGAATTTAAAATTCTATTTTGTAATTACATCGAAAATGAAGGAAATATCTTAATTTTGAGTATATATGATCTTTATATTATGAATTGTAGTTTTTATAAAAATAACATCATATCCACGTATTTCTATGCAGCAAGTCGGATTTATGTTCAAGGAAGTTATTTAGATGTTTCAGATCCAGGAACGGAAGGACATGTTACAATTTCAGAGAATATTAATTCATTATATCCAGAAAATTATCATTTGTCTTCTTATAAATGTTCAAAAGCACCTAAATTTTCAGAAAATAAAGAAAATGTTTACAAAATTATAGTTAACCATAAACAAAATATATCACTCAAATATACGTTTTTTTGTTCATCATTCTTTTAAATATTTTTTTATATTATTCATAAATTATCTAATTTACAGCATATTGAAGTACTTTTGCGAAGACATTGTCATTGTTACGAGAAAATGGAGCTATTCATTGTGAATTAATAATGGAATTTCATTTTATGAATAAATTGCATGAAATGGTCAAATATAAGATCAAATATTTTCTTTGACAGCATATAAAATGTTCATATATCTTTCCAAAAAGTTCATTGTTTGCAATTCTTTATCATTGTTTGTCATTTGGTCGGACCCCCTATCATTCCCTCCCCCACAATATTGATAAAACCCCTTTTAAAAAATTTGAATAGGCGTTATCGTTTATGAAAGACAGTTTAGATTTGTTACAAGATAATCATTAAGATTTTTATTAAAATGTGAACACCTACCATATATGACTAGATAGTTTAAAGATGTGATCTTTTTCAAGGAATACTTCTAAAATCATCTCAAAAATTTACGATTTTTTTGTAAACTGCTCGTCAAAAAGCTCAAGTCCGATCATATTTTTGAGTCAACTCATACAATTAATTCTATGAGTTCCTCTCAAATTGGTGTCAAAATCAGACCTGCGCTTTTTGAGACATTCAATTTTAACCTTTATTCCTAAATTAACAAATAAATAAGATATACCTAATAGGGTTCTTTTACAATGCCAAATTCTGCAATTGTCGGCATTTTCAATCTAAATATGCGGGATCGCAATTTCAAAATTCAGCATTTATCTGCTGATTAGGGCGGACATCAGTGAAGGTGGACTGTGTTGGAAAGGATTTCCAGCCCAAAAAGGCTAACTCAAAGCTTTATGACCGCATAGGAAGGCTCCGACGCCTCCATTAAAATATGTAAACTTCTCAAAATTGAGAGACCATTAAAGTATGAGGAATACATTTTGACACTTTACAAAATATAAAAATAAAAAGGCTTGCTTTTTGGTGCCATTTCATTAACCGGTCAAAGTGGAAAGTGTTGAAAATATGATTATATTAGCAATTAGCAGATTCATCTATTATACGAAACCATCTCTATTTCTCACAAGGCGTGGGAAGATTTCTTCAACTCTTCAATTGAACATACACTATACGCAAATGAAAGCAAAAGGCTCGAAGATATTTCACCAAACAGCTATTACATCTCTCTTTGTCTGTTTATTTATCTTAATGAAACAGGCGCAGTTCGCATCTCAGACTATTCATTTAAAAAGCTTAAATTCCTCATTGATACAAGCTCATTTGACAAATGCGAGAACAAGAACCAAATAGGTGGCTCTTTGTTTGTAAGATCTACTAGAGGTGAATGTATTCAAGACCGAGTTTGTAGTTTTGGCTCTAATTTGCTATTGTACGATGGAGCTTATTGCTACATTTGGCTTTCAGATACACCTCCATTTAAGAATTATCTCCTTGATTCAGCAATTGCTTCAACTGGTGATGAAAATCCAGATCAAAACAATAATATTGTTTTGAAAAGAGGCGAAATAAATATGAGATCAATCAATATTTCATATTCAAAACTTTATTACTCGAGTACCTACTGGGTTTATTGCGATTCTAACTCAAACGTAACCTTTTCAACATTTTCAAACAATACAACCACAGAAAATTACTTTGCAGCATGGCATGATGAACCATCTGATTCACTTGAATTTACGATTCATTTTTGTCATTACTTGGAAAATGACTGCAATTTTTTTATTTACAGCCATATTGATCTCTATATCAATAATTGTAGTTTTAATAAAAATAAGATCGGAAGACAGTATTTCGGTACAACTGCCAAACAAATTCGAGTTAAAGGGTGCGATTTTGACATTTCCGATCTTTATATAGAAGATGGAGATGATATAGTAATAACAGAGAATGCAAGTTCAATTTATCCAGAAAATTCTCATTTTCCTAGCACATGTTCAACAGAACTAAAATTCGAAGTTTCAAAAGAAAAAGAAGAAATCAAAGTAAACTATAAACGAAATTATTTTTTTTAATTGCATGCCATTCCTTATTCCTCGATCTTTTAAATAATTTCGGAAACCCTTTTACATATGGCAAAAAATTTTAATAGTTTTTTTTTGAATGTGCACTATATATATCAAATTATCCATTTCTGTTTTATTTGGGTATGAAACATTTGCAATAGCTCTAAAAAAAAAACTGAGTGGAAGGTAAGTGGGCGTATAACACATTTATAAGTTCATAATTCTGAAGCTACTAAAAATCAACATCAATAATAATAAAAAAATTGTTGTTGTTTTTTACTACAAAAAAAGAAAATATAAAAATAAAATTAATCTAAATCATCTAATTCGAGTGATTTCTTAAATCGGTTCCATTCGCGTGAAATGTCGATCTCAGAACTATCACGGAGTTTTTCGTATGTAGTTTCAAGCAAATGCATGAAACTACTATTATCATGGCTGTAAACTTTATTTTCACGCATAAGTCTACGGAAGCTTTCTTTAATAGAATATGCTGAAATAATGTTTCGATTTCTGCACATATGTTCAAAAACTTTCTGCTTCTCAAGTAAACCACCAGAAAAGGCTTCTTGAGCCATATTTTGTTCATTACTTTGTTGTTGATTGTATTGTTTGTTTACTTTTTGATTTTTAAATTCTTCAGAATTGATGAATTCATCATCTGATGATGAAGATGTTGATAAATAATTGATATGCTTTTGTTTGTTTCCATCTTTAAGTTTTTCTTCTTCTTCTGATTCCGATGAATAATATTCCGATGAAGAAAATACTGGATATATAGAATTTCGTTTAATTTCATTGTTTTCAGCATCGAAATATTGATAATCAAATGCTTCTGGTGTTTTCTCTTGTGAAATAAATGATTGCCATTCTAATGAAACATCATCAGGAACTTTAGTATGAATGATAACTAATTTACGAACTAAGCTATCGTAAATTGTTCCTGGATGGTATTTCTTAAGAATGAATGAAAGTAACTGTTCCTGCCATGAATTATTTAGCATTGGAAATACTTTGGTTGACAAATAACCAACAACTGCGGAAAGATCTTCAACATCTGAAAGATATCGTGTTAAATCGCATTGAACACCTGTGAGTAAACAATATTCCATGTAAATACAAATAAAACATGATCTGTTAACATCACTCTTGCAATCCGAATATTCATAGTTCTTCAGTTGCATGCCAAGAGACAAATTCTTGTCCATTGGCATAACCAACAAAATCAAATTCGTCAATGATTGTACGGAATTTGGATTATTCGGGATTAGAGTTTCAATCAATGAAGTTGTGTTGATTGTGAACTTTCCCATCCATCGTTGGTCACAACACAAACCATCACAGCCATCACGGATGTAATCAAAACGTTCATTCTTACAATAAACAACATCACCATACTGATTTATGAAAGTCATCAACTGATAAGCAAATTTTGTTACTGCTTGGTCTGATAACATCATACTTGCATGCTTGAAGAAATATGAAAGTGCATGAATAAGAAAATGAAGAGATGATTCACTAACAAGTTCATAAATCTTAGAGGAGAATAAATTCTTTGAATTTGAAGAATCATTGTTATAAATGAAATTAAATATTTCAATTAAAATTGTTGTACATTCATCACTTCTTTGTGACAAAATAATTCGGATGAAAATGTCTTTCAAATTCGTATTAAATATATAATTGAACTGTTCTTGATTATCTCGTGAATTGTAGTAGCTAAACTCATATCGAAGATCCAAAAGTGGATAAATCTTATTAAATGAATTGGAACAAACAACTTTCTTGAAAATGATTTCCAATCGACTGCTTTGTTCATATCTTGGTGAGAAACACTTCAAAAGTAAGTCATAAAGCTTTAACAAGTTCTCGTCATCACGGACATTCAAATTATACAAGATTTTGCTTGTTTCAAATAATTCACGGAATATTTCTGAATTATTCATTTCCATTGGAATTAACAAATATGAATAAGCTTCAATAAGATTTGTAGCATAAAACTTGATGTTGTTTCCTTCATATGATGAATAGAAATGTCTTGGATCAGTGTGCAATTTATGGATCTTGTCATTAATAGCAGCAAAGACTTTTTTAATGTTTGGCAAAGTCAAATTAGAAGGATGTATATCTTTGTGTTTCAAATCACCTTGATAAACAGAATTATACATTGCAGGAATGGTGTATTGTTCCATGATTGGAGAAATTTGGAGATTATGGAACATATCAATTAATATCTTCTCTGAGATCAATCGGACATCTTCTTCGGAGTAAGTGAGAAGATTAACAAGACAAACTGGATTAGTAATAAAGAACCTCTTAATTTCGCTTTTTCCAGCACGAAGTTTAAGAAGAATATGCAATGTCAAATCAGCCAAAATTCTATTAGAAATTGCTGTTTCGCAGACTTGGTTAAATACTTGTTCACTTTCTGTTGCAATCTCTGCCATGAGACCGTATCCTTCTTCAATGTCTTTCTGGTTAGATGATGACAACAAATAATGCAAAAATTGACTCATTTCGATTTTTCCTTCTTTACAAAGCTTGCAGAAGAGTTTTCCAGCTGCTTGTGTGTTTTCTGTTGACATGAATATACTGTTTGTATATTCAACAAGGGCTTTGTAATCGAAATGATCAACAAACTGAAGAGATTTCAACAAATTTGATATGTTAACATTTTGTAAATAAATTTGTGTTCTTTGTGGAGAATAAATCAACTTAATAATCTCAATGACGTGGTCTGCCAATCCGTAATCATTTGCACTCTTCGGATATTTGACAATGAAATGTTCAATAACAAAACAAACATCAGGAATTTGACGCCAAACAGTGGTTAAAGATGGGAAATTATCAATGAAATTATTGATGATTTGTAATGAAATACTTGGACCAATGAAATCAATTGTTTTCATTGTGAATGTACGCATTGTTTCAAGAATCATAGGAAGTGAACATGACTTGTAAATCTCGAATACTTTTTCGAAATTATTTATAAACAAATCTTCCAAGATTCCTTTACTTTTTTCGTTTGTATCGACGAAATGATTCAAACAATTTGGCATCTTCGCATCATAAGTATTCAAATTGGATCTACAGAAAATGTTGATGAAATATGGTACTGGATTATCAAATGTGTCACAAACGAAATCTAAAAATGATGAACTCAATAAACTTTGAACTCTTAAGAAGAAATCATTTTCTTTATTGATTTCTTCAATTTGTTCTTCTTTGAAATGAACATCGCATTGTGTGTTTTCGCCATCCTTAGTGTAAAACAGTAAATATGCTGATGTACCAGTATCATCAAGATCATCATCATTAAATGAGTCATATTTGTCAAATTCGTCACTTTTTCCAAACGCTTTTTCTTTCAAATTTTTATCTTCAATTGTTGTAACTAAAGTATCATCGAAACTGATCCATTTATTAGGATTAACTCTGACGTATGATGTGTAATGTCCTCCTTGTGCAGTACCGTGATGCATGACAATACCTGTCAAGTTGTATTTGCAAGGATTAGAATTATCCAACATCATTTCTGAAATGTCAATTTCATCAGAAAATTGGAAATTCGAATTTACTTTGATTCTATTGAATGTTTGTAAGTTATATTCGAATCTCTTTAAGTGGAAAACCATGATAGGAGGTGCTGTTTCGATCTTAGCACTCTTTAAAATATCAATTTTCTTATTAAGTTTCTCAGCAAAATGAGATTCAAATCGTTCTGCAACACCAAACAATTTAAATGAATTTTCAATTGTGTTTGTGTTTTTAATTTCCAATTCTATGGAATAAAAATCTTCATTGTTATATGATTCGTATTCTTCCTTTTCGCCTTTGATGATATTACGAATGGAGCCACGGAAATACTTATTGATGTCTTTAGGCATTTGGTCCATCAATATTTGGTAAAACTCATTTGCATCTTGTTGTTCACGAGGATTAATTTTTGTTTTTCCCCATAACCATGTTTCACAAAATGGTGTTGTATCAACAAATTTCTCTTTGGAATAATTCATACGTGCAAATAACATTTGGAGTTCTGATATTCCTGGTTTTAATTCTTCTGTCGTGTTTTCGAAATCATTTACAAAAGTTTTGACTGAAAACAACTGTTGTAAAACAGAATTCATGTAACAAGTTGCACTTAAATTTTTCAGTCCTGATTGTGTTTGAAGTCTTCTTTCATCAGGATTCATACTGAACTTATCAAGTTTAATGTTATTGATATATTCGTTCAAATATGGTTTGTCGTAACCAATGACTTTCAACAAGTTAAATAATGATGCTTGAACAGTTGCATCATCTTTTGTTAATGCAAATTCTAAAACAGTTTTTGATAATTCTTTGTAATCTTGATTTTCATCAACACAACGATTAATCAAATCTGTTAACAAACAACAGATTTGTGATATTGATGTATCATTATCATTTTGTTTGTTTTGAACAAATAATTTGATAAATGTATCAATAAGTTCTCGAATATTAATGTTATCAGAAATATAAGGCAAATTAATGTTCATCATCATGATAATGAATTTATCATTTTCATTGCCTTTATTGACTTCTTCAAGGCAAATTTCGAAGACTTCTTTTCTATCAAGAAGTGACAAAAATCGTGAAATAGAACCCCAGTTTGTCAAATTGCATTTTGAAAGTAACTCAATGATTTTTTCTCTGTTTTTATGAAGAAAAACTTCATTGATTTCTGTTGGTTTGATCTGGTTGATCTTATACATCAAAAGATAACAATTATCCATGTTTTCTGATTGAGAATATGAATTGATGATAATTGGAGCCAAAAGATCAATGTTTTCACTGAATTTCATATCGAAATGTTGTGAAAACAAATTGATAACGTTTGTTGAAATCTTTGGTGATTCCAATTTACCAATTAAAATAGAATAAATAGAAATAGACAACTGTATATAATATTCTTCATTAATAGACATCTGGTTCATTAATATCTCTAATATATAATTAAAAAGAGATTCATTTTCTATGTGTCCTATTAATTCTTCTGTTGCTTCTTCATCAGAGAAAATGGAAATGATTAATCCACAATCAGGAAGAAGATCAAGTAATTCTATACATGAATTTGTTAATTCAACAGAATCACTTTCACTAACAATGTCATATATCTTTTGACTCAAATCATCTTCAACAAAATACAACAAAGGATATTGAGGAATATTAGCTATATTATAATCTTCAACTGCAACAACATGAAAAACTTCTCGATCTGAAACATTTTCCATATTAACATAATTAAAGATAGATTTGTTACTTTTATCTTTCAAAGTAAATAATGATTGCGATCGTTCTAAAATACATGAAACACGTTCCATGATTTCACGTGGTTTTGTTCTTGGATCATAACTTAATTTCATATTTTTCTTTGTTAATTCATCATAAATATTAATAATTCTTTCACCATATCTTTGTATTTTCTTGTGTGGTTGTATCTCGAAATCTTCTGGTCTAAAGATACTGTTCATGCCAAGAAAATCTTTGATTAAAACAACACCACGAAGTTTTTCTTTCGATGTTTCACACATTGACAAAATTTCATTTGAATATTGAACAGTTGATTTTTTGTCAATAGAACTTGATAACAATTGTAATAATTTCTTTTGTGCTAATTCAGACACTGATTCGTCAATACAATAAAAGTATATATCATGTATTAATTCCAAATATTTAATTGGGAATTTTGTTAATTCAAATTCTTTTGGAAAAGAAATGCTTTTGTTGCTATCATATTTAGATATTAATACATAATTCTTGTATGCGTAAATAAGAACGTATTGGATACATAATTTAGCTAATGCTTCAGATGCATGCACTTTATCTTGTTTTAATAATATTTCACCAAGTTTTTCATAGCATTCCGTTGTAATACTTGTAGAAATGTTTGTTATCATTCCTTCTAAAAATGACCAAATATTGTCTTCGAAACCGAATTGTTCAAATTTAGAAAGCATTGATTCATCAATGACATGTATCTTCTTGCAATAAGAAAGAATAACACGAATGAAATGTGTTTTATTGATCTTCTTATCATGTACTAATGAAATGATATGATCAATGAAATCAAATGGTAAAAACTTATCAAAATTATATGAAATATCTAATATCTTACTAAATATATCAGCAATGTCTGATTGATGGGGACCTTCGATGCATTCAAGACCAACATTAATTAAATTAGACTTGTAGATCTCAGAAATGGAATAATCAATCATTTTACAGACAGAATTAGAGAAACTTTCGCATTCCAAATTCAATAATAATTTGTAAATAAACAATGATAATTCCATGTTCGAACTTGAAGTGTTAAACATCGTTTGGATGAGGAAATCAAGAGTATCTACTGAGATGTCTTTACTTGCTTCAACAATGAACTTCTCAGCTTCGGAATTACTCAGTTCGTTGATACCTTTTGATACAATTTTCATCATCAATGGTTTCTTGGAACTGTGTGCATGCAAACTGGCATCCCATAGCTTGTACAAACTATCTGGAGTAAGAATTGAAATGTAAACTGTTTCTAATGCTTTTAATAATTCAGAATGTAAATCTTCTGACGCCAAAAAGTCAATGAGCTTTGTATTCTCCTTCCATTTCTGATACTGTGCACGAGATGTACCTGTAGAGTTTTCGCAAATAGAGAGAATTGTTGCTCCGTGCATTTGAATATTAACTTTTCTTGAGTAAATGCATTTTTCTGCATATTGAAGTATTTTCTCGAAGAAGTTATCAACATTGGGAGCGAAGGGAGCTATTCCAAGTGAATAAATGATGGCATAATTAAGTTTTGAATTATCTGGTTCGACTTTATCGATAAATTGTACGAAATGGTTTAATGTAAAACTAACTGTTGCATCTTCGTTGGTAAATGGTGATAAAATGTTCTCAAATATTTTATAATAAAAATAAAAATGATTCACTGTGACATCATCACGTAAACAACGTTCATTCATCTTAGTAAACCATTCTTCCTTCTTTAGCTGCTCTATTATTGTACTTAAAGGTGCATATGTTGTATTTGTTGAATAAAATAAATTTGAGCAATCAAAAACAAATGAAATTTTCTCGAAATCATCTAGCTTATCTGTGCAAAAGTAATGCGCAGCTAAATTTGAAACTGCAACTATCATGCTGCAGATTACGTCGATTTCATCTGCAGTTACTATACGAAAATTAAGAACTTTTCGAGTTATTTGCGGTACAAATTCTGATGTGAATTGTTGAGTATGTTGTTCGAGAATACCTAATAGTTTTCCGTGAGAAATAATTTCATTAATAAGTCGTATGAAATCAGGGATCAAATATTGGTAATCATTGCCTGGGATCGCTGATGCGTCGAAAACAAAGCACCATGTTGCAAAATCTTCGCTTGGATCCATAAAAAACTTAGGAACTAAAAAATTTTGACGAAAAAAAAATCACTTGAGAAGAAAATTATGACATAATCGGCTGTTTACTATATTTATGATCAGTGTCTTATGAATTTGTTGTATCCTCAATAAACTATCCATTAATACTGTGAATGTTTAATAAATTATTTTCAATTATTCAAAATGGATCTCATGGACAGACAATAATAACCGCAATTGCATAGACAATACGCGGGTAGACTTGTATGAGCTAAATAAAGATTATTAATCATGAATTTTATTCAATTCATTCTGGTACTTCATTCAGAGTAGGTTGTGTAATATAATGTAAATCAGAAGCAGTATTATTCAGCTAAACCTTCTATGTTTCATTCTTAAATTTTCTTACCAATAAAGGGTGCTTGAGTATTTTAAGTGGTATGATTTTTTACTATGTCATTATCCTTCATTGGAACTCGAGTAATAAAGGAATTGATTATCGAAAAAATGGCACATTTAAAACTGAAAACAATACTATTCCCAGATTGTTGTGTCGATGGATTTCTATTATATCGGATTCGATCGCCCATTGGCCCGGTATTGTGTAATCAATGAAAAAATGTCTAATTGAAATGGAATTCTTTTCATAGATTACAGATACCAACAGCACTATAATCCTTTTTCATTCTAAAATCGGTACGTAAAAAAATCAATGGAATTTTTTGGCGAAATTATTTTTATAAATTGAGCCTTGATTTCAGAAATGACTTACGGTTTAATACAAAAGTGTGGTCACTATTTTAAAGTTATGTATCAATACCATATTCAGTAAATTCTATTAAATTATTTCATATGTTTGAAGGTTTACAAGTAATTGAATACTTTCACAAAAATCCAAAATGACCGAGCCTCGCGAGTCTACGCCAACATCAGTTTTACCAAAGCTGATCGCAGTGCTTAGTTTTTCATCTCTATGCCCAATAGCATTCGTATTACTGTACAAAATGGCTACAAAAACATATCATTCTACACTTTTACACATTTGCCTTTACTGCTCAGGATCCACACTCCTTCTCCCAGCATTAATATTCTTTTTCCGTATGTACCAAAACCTTTTAGTTCCTAAGAACATTTTGCCAGCAATTCCTGAAGATGAACTCTCAGAAGTGTAATTATTGTTTTCTTGTTTGTTTGTATTTTAATATTAATAAATAATATAGATTTCGTTACGTGCAATTACTGTTACCGGATCAATTTTTTTTTATCATTGCCGTTTTTGGCAGAAGAACAAAATGGTGCATTTAATAAACCCAATTGGAACTACATGATTTTGATAGATATCAAACTCATTATCTCTCATTTGAGTTGGAAAATTTATTTTGGATTGAGTATGATGCTCACTGTCTTCGCAACCAATAATCTCTAAAAACATGAAAAGTATCGATACGAACTGTTAATAGAAACAGAATGTGAAAATTATATGTTTTCATATTTTCAATTCCAATTGAGTCATTTTAGGAGTAAGCTGAAATCTTCTACAGCTTAAATGAAATTTATATTCCTGATGTCGGTCAAATATATGCAATTATTAGATGCATTTGATATTGATTCTTATGAATTATCAATTTGTAAGACAGCATATAATCATAAAAAATCTTGTCAAACTTAAAGATAGATTTTCAAAGTAATCGATGGTAATTTTTAAAATCCCAAATTTGTTTTGGCTAAATATTGTTTTTTTCTGAGTTGATCACAAAAACATTCATTCAATAAATTCTTTGGCATACTTAAATTCTTAGAATGAAGGGTTATTTTGTGAAAATTTCAAATCTGAAAAATCAACACGTGGAATTCGATTTCTTCCATTATCGTTTCATTATATTCATGGTAAATAGTATTGCTATCATGTTTATTTCGTTTAAAAAAGTCTTAACGGACGGCATTCAATTAATTGATAAGTACGATATGATACGTTATTAATCACAACTCTTCATGGTTCGTGAAATCGTTCACATCCAAGCTGGACAGTGCGGTAACCAAATTGGTGCCAAGTTCTGGGAAGTCATCTCCGACGAACACGGCATTGACCCAACAGGCTCCTACCACGGCGACTCCGATCTTCAACTCGAGCGCATCAACGTTTACTACAACGAAGCCACAGGCGGCAAGTACGTCCCACGTGCTATCCTTGTCGACCTTGAACCAGGCACAATGGACTCCGTCCGTGCCGGCCAGTTCGGTCAGCTTTTCCGCCCAGATAACTTCGTCTTCGGCCAATCCGGTGCTGGTAACAACTGGGCTAAGGGCTACTACACAGAAGGCCAGGAACTTTGCGAATCCATCCTCGATGTCATCCGTAAGGAAGCTGAATCCTGCGACTGCCTTCAGGGCTTCCAGCTTGTCCACTCCCTCGGCGGTGGCACAGGCGCTGGTCTCGGCACACTCCTTCTCAACAAGCTCCGTGAAGAGTACCCAGATCGTATCCTCTCCACATACTCCATCGTCCCATCTCCAAAGGTTTCTGATACAGTCGTCGAGCCATACAACTGCACACTCTCCGTCCACCAGCTCGTCGAGTCTGCTGATGAAGTTTTCTGCATTGATAACGAAGCTCTTTACGATATCTGCTTCCGTACACTCAAGCTCACAACACCAACATACGGCGATCTTAACCACCTTGTTTCCATGGTTATGTCCGGCACAACATGCGCTCTCCGCTTCCCAGGTCAGCTCAACTCCGACCTTCGTAAGCTCGCTGTCAACCTTGTTCCATTCCCACGTCTCCACTTCTTCATCGTTGGCTTCGCTCCACTCACATCCCGTGGCTCCCAGCAGTACCGCGCTCTTACAGTCCCAGAGCTCACATCCCAGCTTTTCGATAACAAGAACATGATGGCTGCTTGCGATCCACGCCGTGGTGTCTACCTTACAGCCTCCGCTCACTTCCGTGGCCGTATGTCATCTAAGGAAGTCGATGAGCAGATGCTTAACATCCAGGCTCGTAACACATCCTACTTCGTCGAGTGGATCCCATCCAACGTCAAGTCCGCTATCTGCGATATCCCACCACGTGGTCTCAAGATGGCTGCTACATTCATCGGCAACACAACAGCCTTCCGTGAACTCTTCACTCGTGTCGACTCCCAATTCCAGAAGATGTACGCTCGCCGTGCTTTCATCCACTGGTACGTCAACGAAGGCCTTGAAACAGTCGAATTCGATGAAGCTCGCTCCAACATGACAGATCTCATCCAGGAGTACGAAATGTACGAAACAGCTGGCGTCGAAGAACAGGGCGAAGGCGAAGAAGATGAGGAAGGTGAAGCCGCCGCTTAAGCAAATTACCAAGAAATTTTTATCACAAAAATAATTTTTTTTCTTCTTTCTAAAATGCAAAATTGAGATACTTCTATGTCTGATTATTAAAGTTTCGAAGCCAAATAAGCAATTTATTTTGTCATGATGAGAGAAAGAATGATGTCTTTTCTCCTCCAATTGTGCAATTTAATTTTGAACAAATTCCTAATATTGTTCTATGCTGTGGAGCTTTCTTACTTGAATCAAAGTGTCCTTGACTTCTTGCAATTGATATATGCATAATTTCGTCATCAAATTTTTCTAAAAATGTAGGATTATATGAATCAACAAGTTTATCAAACTTATTTTTTATATTTGTCATTTCGTCACAATTTCTAATATTAAGTGCATAGAAAACAGATGAATTTGAGGAATCATCCAAGAAAACTCCATTTTCAAAAGTAAAGCACTGTCTATTAATGGTTTTAGAAAAGTTTTCACATGATTTCTTAAATGCTTTAACTTGGAAATATTTCAAAGAAAACAATGGAGATAATGAAACATGCAATTTTTGATCTTTAGATGAATCAAATAGAGGAATAAATCCTTCCGGAACTACTAAATAGCTTTCATCTATCTCAATTTCTAAGCAGACGTGTGTTACCCATTGACCCTGCTTATGGGGAAAATGACGAATACTCATATTGTCACTTTTTTCCTTTTCAACATCGAATATTACTGATTTTACCTTCTTTTCCAGCTTTGCATAAACCAAAGATGGCTAGTATGGAATTCTGAGAGAATATGAACATGAATTGCACTGAATCTGTTCATTTAAATTAAGAGTTGAGATATTGTATGTTAAATGATGTTTTCTTATTATTTCTCATTCCATATGATGGTGCTATCATTAATTGTGCAGGTTATTGACATATACAAACCCAATTCTCTCTTCAAAGAAAATAATCTATTAATCCAACTTTATGAAATAAAACTTATCTTCGAAAGCTTGAGAAAGCTCGTTTCGATATTAAGAGTCAAAAATTTGCTGACATCGCTAAGGTTAAACTGAGTCGATATTTTTGTTGATATATTCTTATTAAAAACTTGACTTTTCCATATAAATATGCATTTGATAAGTAATAATAGCATAAATATTGACTCATATATTTGCTTAGTCATTAAATTTTATGGAGAACGAGAAAATTATCAAACTCTTTGGGTTTGATATAACCAAATTCTCAAAGGTAACAATATTCTTTATTGGTGTTATTGGTATTTTACTCTCATTTCTTGTTCAAGGCACCTCTCAAGAAAAACTTTATTCAAAATATGATTACAAAGAGACAATTTTCTTCACATTCAATCAATTCTTTTGCTATTTTCTATTATCGTCAAGATATGTCATTAGATTATTGCTTAAAAAGGAAAAATTACATGCAAGTGTGAAATATTACGCTTTTGTTTCATTTATCTTGCTTGGATCAATGCTATTATCGAATTTATCTGTTGAAAGACTCGCTTATTCTACGGCTGTTCTCTTTAAATCATCAAAATTAATTCCCGTTATGATAGGATCAATGATTTTCCTTCGAAAGAAGTATAATGTCTATGAAATACTATCTGTACTACTCGTTGTTGGTGGTTTATATGGTATTTCAATGAGTGACAAAAAAGCCAAAAATAAATTTGATCCAATTGGTGTTGTATTAATGACAATATCACTTTCGTGTGACACCATTTCGTCAAATCTACAAGAAAAAGCTCTTGACCAGTATAATGCGCCCCAAGATGAAGTTATTTCAATGATGTACGCGATTGGCTCCGGATATTTGTTCTTATTAAGCCTATTTACAGGCCAATTCCAAAAAGGTGTAACATTATGCTATCATCATCCAGATATGATCTTCTACTTATTATCTTTTGGATTTTTAGGTGGAATTGGTGTAAATTTCGTATATCTTATAATGAAAGCGTTTGGGTCATTAGTAACTGTTATGGTTACATCATGTAGAAAAGCATTAACCTTTAGTTTGAGCTTTATTTTGTTCCCAGACAAAAGATTTACAAGATTCCATTTATTATCTGTAATTGCGATTGCAACTGGTGTATCAATGAACTACTACGGTAAATCCCTCCATAAGAAGACAAATATTAAAGCATTTCAGGATATTGAAGACAAACAAGAAAATCCAAACGATCAAGCTTAACCATGTTTATAATAAAATACTATCTTTATCAAATATTTATTTAATACAACAATATAATAAAATTACAAATATATCTAACAGCAACCTTTCTTTGGTTCATCATCAGTAACTGTAAGTTTCCTTCCAGTAATATCCGTGCTATTCTTATCAAGCTTTCTTATAACTTCGGAAGCAATTCTGGAAAATGCCTCTCGAACATTTTGTCCAGTTTTTGCTGATGTTTCTATGTAATGTAATCCGCGTGAATCTGCGAAATTTTGTGCATCTGCTAGTGAAATCAATCTTTGATCAGGAATATCGCATTTATTACCAATTAGCATAATTTCTGCATCTTGACAACATAATGTTCTAGCATCATTTAGCCACCCTCCAATTTCTTCGAATGATTCTTTATCTGTAAGAGAAAAAACAAGTAAAACGCCTATTGCATTTCTAAAATATGCTCGAGAAATAGATCGAAATCTTTCTTGGCCTGCAGTATCCCATATTTGTATCGGAATTTCTTTTCCGTCGACATCAACTTTTGTTGAATCAAATTCAACTCCAGTTGTTGATAGTGTATTTTCTCTGAATTCATTCTCTGTCATGCGCTTCATGATGCATGTTTTTCCCACACCAGTTGACCCGATTACAATAAATTTGAAGAAATCAACATTTTCTACCATTTTTATAAGAAAGATATCTTCGTAAAAGTGACAAAAATCAATAATCAACTAGTAAACTCTAACAGCATCAAAAGGTACATTCACTAGGCGATAACAGCAAAATGGGACAAAAAATAAGATAAATAGCACCCCTATATAGTGGACCAAAAAAAATTTGTTATGGGTCCATTATAAATTCCATTATAAATTCAAATTTCAGTTTTTTTTTTGCAGATTTCACGCTAATTTCGAAGTTACCTTTTGTAACAACTACCACCGCCTACCAAAGTGTGTCGCGATTTTACCAGGTAACCCGACTTTGTTTAAGAGTAAGCACTTTTGTCATCTACTCGACTTTCCACAAATTGTGAGTAGATTGACGATACAAACGGTTTGGTCGGAGAACCCTCTTAAATTTTATTTTGGTAGAATGCTGTTTTACCTATTTTCATATTCATTCTCTGTATGTCCGGAAGGCGAAACTTATGAAATTCCAAGCGGCACAACATCAATTGAAGCAAGTGCATTTTCTGGATGTTCTAGTCTCACAGGTATAACTAGGGTTGTTAAAAATATCAAAAATTAGCGTTTTGAAGACACCATGGTGTCTTATAATTTTCCCTTCCTTATTGGCGTGTAGAAATAAATGCGCCAATAGATTGAAGAAGAAGAATTGTTTTTCTCTTAATGAACTTTAATCCTTTTGATATAAGAATATTAAAAACATTAATATAATTTCGATTTCGGAAATTAAATTTCCAAATTTTTTGTCGATTTCGGAAATAACAGGATCCCGCATCCAACACGCAACAACAAAACAAAAACACACTTTTTGGTTCTTTCATTGTTTTAATCGTAATTTATGTAATACATGATTTGGATAAATTTTACAAAAATAGAACCTATATTATATTCTTTTCAAAGATTCTTGCAAATCATCAAAAATAATTGTATTTTAAAAAACGATCAAATTATCCTTTCATTATTTTAAACTTAAATTAGTTTTTATGATTGACTAAAGCAATCATATTTTTCATCATTAAATAAACAAAAAATAATATTTGAGAGTTATTTCAAAAAAAACACATTGAATTTATTAATTTGTCTCAATTTCAGTATTATAAATTTTTATAATTTCAATATTTTGAAATACACTTTTTAATATTTCAATATTTATGATATTTCAATGTATTAAGTGGTCTCAAATTGAGCTTCTCAAATATAAGTTGGCCTATTCAAATAATAAAATTAAATAATATTTAAAATAATAAATAAAAGTGATTGAGGTCATAGCAAAACGGCTGTTTCAGTCATTAATTCTTAAAAATAAAAAGGGTAAAAACTAAATACAATGGGTAAAATTCAATAGTGTCTGTGCTATCGTTCAATTTGCAGGTGTCTTTTGAAACCGCAAGACACATTGAATTTTTGAATAGTGTATTATGGTTTGACAGACACCAATGAAAAAAATAAAATGATATTTATTTTAAATATATAAGATCCTTATATAAAATATAAATATTTTATCGTTTTATTTTCTTGTTTTAGAAATGTTTTTTATTGAAAAATCAATAAAACTAACTCCAAAATAAAATTTTTGATTTAAAGACACTATGATGACACCAGGCAAATCTTCCAAGACACCTATCGTCGGGAATCTAACAACCCTAGGTATAACAATTCCTGATACTGTTACATCAATCGGATTTAAAACATTTTATGGATGTTCTAGTTTCACAAGTATAATAATTCCTAATAGTGTTACATCAATTGGAACGAAAGCATTTACTGGATGTTCTAGTCTCACAAGTATAACAATTGGTAATAGTGTTACATCATTTGGACAAGAAGCATTTTCTGAATGTTCTAGTATCACAAGTATAACAATTCCTAATAGCGTTACAACAATTCGAGATTTTGCATTTTCTGGATGTTCTAAACTCACAAGTATAACAATTCCTAATAGCGTTACATCATTAGGAAGCCATGCATTTAGAGGATGTTCTGGTCTCACTAGTATAATAATTCCTGATAGTGTTACATTAATTAGAGGCAGCATATTTTATGGATGTTCTAGTCTCACAAGTATAACAATTCCCAATAGTGTTACATCAATTTACAGCAGTGCATTTTATGGATGTTCTAGTCTCACAAGTATAACAATTCCTGATAGTGTTTTAGATTTTGGGAGCGCTGCATTTCAAGAATGTTCTAAACTAACAAATATAAAAATTGGTAATAATGTTGATTCAATAGGAAGCCTTGCATTTAAAAGATGTTCTAGTCTCACAAATATAACAATTCCTGATAGTGTTACAACAATTGCAAATAGTGCATTTTATGAATGTTCTAAACTCACAAGTATAACAATTGGTAAAAGTGTTACACGCATTGAAGGAAATGCATTTTCTAAGTGTTATAGTCTCACAAGTATAACAATTAAAACTACTAACGATATTACCAGTTCAATAACAACAGATGTATTTCTTAATTGTCCAATTACAGAGTTAATTTATGAAACCACTGGGCTCACTTTTCTTACATATGAGTACTTCAAAGACAAAGTTACATTAATCAAATTCAACATTCCAAAATCAGATTCAAATTCAATGATAAGACTTCAAGAAATCACATCATTACCAACATTGACTCATTTCACCAATCTCAATAAAGTCACCATCGAAAACATAAATGAATTAACAATTCCAGAATCTTTTATTGAAGGAGATAATTTTGAAATCTTAATTACGAATAATATTAAGTCCATTGATCCAAATGCATTCAAAGATTGTTCAATTAACAAATTCACATATCTTGGAACAGATAAACTTGAAAATGATTTCCTTAAAAACGCTAAATCATGCGAAGAAGTAATCACATCTACAAAATATAGTGATAATGAAATTGGTGGAATGACAATCACCCATAAACAATCAGAAGAAAATCCAAATCAGCCAGGTGAAAATCCAAATCAACCAGGAGAAAATCCAAATCAGCCAGGAGAAAATCCAAATCAACCAGGTGAAAATCCAAGTCAACCAGGAGAAAATCCAAGTCAACCAGGAGAAAATCCAAATCAACCAGGAGAAAATCCAAGTCAACCAGGAGAAAATCCAAATCAACCAGGTGAAAATCCAAATCAACCAGGAGAAAATCCAAATCAACCAGGAGAAAATCCAAGCCAGCCGGGCGAAAATACAGATGATCCAAGCAAATCCAAGGAAAATAAAGCTATTAAAGGAGGTGAAATTGCTGGTATAATAATTGGAAGCCTTATAGGAATCTGTCTCGTTGTAGCAATTTGTTTTGGAGTTTATTATTATTTTATGCGTATCAAACCGAAAAATAAAAATGATGATAATGAAGGCAACCAAGAAGATACGATAGCAAATGGCACCAATGAAGTAACTAATGAAAATGTTTTGGCAACATTTGATGAACAACCAAATAATGAATCAGATTCCAATGGCTTGGATTCAGCTGAAGTTTAATTTCGAATAATAATAATTTTTTTTATCATTTACTGTGATTGTTGCTTTACTTGTTATTGTAGCTGTTGTATTTAGTGGATAACAATATTATTACCGTTTATAATTCTCATTATCTATTGCTATAGTTTTAGAGATAAAAAGATAAATTTTAATTAATAATTTTATTTTGCATTAAGGATACCCTTACGTGTCAGATTTTTTGCGCATACGAAGAAGTCATGCTAGACATGAGCTATAAACCTGAAATTTTAGCAACATATTTAAAACTTTTTAAACTACAATACACTTTAATATTCAAGAACAAAAATATTCTTTTTAGAAATTACATAATTATTTTATGTGAAATCTATATAAAAACATATTTTGCGAGCGTAACTTTTTTCTTTATAAGCACCTTATATGACTGATAAACTGTGAAGGCACATAATTGTTAATTCATAGAGTTGATATGTTTCCAAAATTGAGAGGAAATTTGAAAATTGAATACCCTTTCAATTCAATTTTCAAAAGATATCAGCTCCTTCAATAATTGAAGGACGATTTTGATCATTTGCTCTTAAAACAAGTATGCCATGGAGAAAAAAGTTACGCTCGCAAATCTGAAATATAACTATCATATAAAAAAATTAAATTTCTAATTTTTTACTCTATAGATATTATTGGCCACTTGTGTAATGCATAAAAGTTTATGTCATATGCATACATTTGGAAGTATGGGAGACGAGGGAAATTACTTCTATGAGGCACTAGGATTTTTAAAAATTTCTCTATCGGACTCACCATTCAATTTCTCGAAAATTAAAAAAAAATCAATAATAGCTAAAATGTATTATGCATAACAAATTTAATGTTACACGGTATTTTTGAACTTCATGACATGAATTTTCTTTATATTTTTTTTTTTTTTTGGATTTTCTATGATTTATGCGATAGGCTGGAACAACATTGTAAGTGCAATGATATCATTTATAGAGAAATCTAAAATTTCAGCATTCAGAACTCGCAACCACAAAATATTCATTTGCTAAGTAAGTAAAGTTGATTAAGTTCGACACTTAGCTTTTATACGTAAAACCAAGTGTGTATTGTTATTTCTTGTTAAATTATTGAGAAAAAAATAAATTGTAAGAGAAACGATACTGATTATTGAAATAATATTGGGTAGCTGCAGATTTCTTCATTAACATGCCGGAAATTTGTTAATCTGGTTTCTATCATAAAATCTGTCGAAGAATCTAAAACGGAGATATGAAATAGAGATCATGTAAATCTAGAGTATCCTGTCAGAAAAATAGACTAAGCATGTAACCCTTTTGGTCATAAACACTTTTTACCACTTAGTCATACAGATGATCATTAAATTTAAACGAGCACTTTTTGTCAGAATTTATTCTTTTACAAAGACAGAAGATTTTAGTATTATTTAATATTAGTGCTGTAGCAAAATTCAAAAAACGGTGAAAATTCAGTGAATTTGTGAATTCACATTTTTTTCGACATTTTTCTTGATATATCCATGCACATTAAGAACACAGCTTTGATACGCTTAAAAAAGCATATTTCATATGAAATTGTTAAAGAAATAAACAATTTATATAAAAATTGCACTTATGGGCAGTTTAGATATATAATTTATATATAACATATATACAAATCCATAGACAAAGTGCAATAACTACAATGTTGTAGAAAATTACAGCAGAAATACTGACTTTTTGAAGGATAATAAGAATTCTTCTAAATGTTGTATTTTATAATTTGATTGATTTTTTTTACTATTTCATTAATCTTTTATGAATAATAATTATTTTTAATATATGTGCTATTAAAATTTCAAATTTTGACTAATATATCTAAGTTATCTGAACGAAACATTTAGAAATATCATACTTACATTGAAATAGCAAGTAGAGCATATTAATAGCAAGTTTCTTGGCTTTATATCTATCATCTATTGTTGTTTGATCAAACAAAATTCACTCTATTATATGGTGTCAATTAATTAAAACAATTTTTAATAGTTATTTATTTAGTGCGAATAAGTGCAAACTCATAAATGAATAACTTAATAGTAGAAATGAATTATCTGATATAAATCTCACATTTTGTCCATCAGAAATACTTTAATTGCATACGAACTATTAGTAATACGTCTGGAGTGTCAATTAATAACAATCCCACAACAAGTAAAATTCAGATTTTTATTAAACTTATTTTTTCCTAAAAGTTTTCTCAAATTACTATATATACATATGTGGATAAAATAATAGTAATATTGTATAAAATTAGATAATTTTTTTTATTTGAGAACCTCTCAAAAGTTCATTCAATTTATCAATTGTTTCAGTTTGATGTATATTCATTTCTGGAGCCTAAAACTTTAGCAATCATGACAATATCATATTCTCTTTCTAACTACGCAATGTAAGGGTATCCTTAATTAATAAAATAGTGGTAATTATAAATTATTTCATCAGAAATTGTTTCATGCGAATAGTTGAATTTTTCACGTATTTGATTGCTTCAAGTGGTGTCAAGCCATAATTACTTTTTTGGTTTGAATCAGCACCATGTTTCATAAGGCCTTCGGCTGAATCCGGTGAATTTGATTCAACGGCAAGATAAAGTGGGCCGTTATCGGTTTCATTAATTTTTACGCCATGCTCAAGGAGGAGATTAATAAGCTCCTTATTATTTTTAGTGACTGCATAAAAAAGTGGAGTAAAACCAGTATTATCCTTTGCATTCAAATCTATATGATTATCGATAAGGAGTTTTGTAATTTAAAATTCATTACAAGCGAAATTCCTCATCAATCCGTTAGCTCCTTTTTCGTCCTTTGAATTTGCATCAACACCGAGTTCAATGAATATCTTGACAAGAACAAAATCATCAGCATAACAGGCCGATAAAAATGGAGCTTTACCATCATCTGATCTTTGATTAATGTCGGCCCCCTTTTCAATCAAGAAGAGAGTAGTTTCAGTGCTATTCATGTAGCATGCACAAATAAGTGGCGATTCTCCGTCAGTTTTAGAAACATTTACAATTCCACCACGTTCGACAAGAAGCCTGGCAACTTCAAGGCTATAGCGTAATGAAGTGGTGAACCACCTGTATTATAGAGAGCATTGACGTTTGCACCGTGCCAAGAAGGAGTTTTGCAATTTCGAAATTGTTCTTTTCTGCTGCAAGTTGAAGTGGTGTCCATTCGCTGTTATCCTCTGCATCAATTGTGGTACATTTTCAATTAAAAAGCGGTTTACATCTGTGCAATTATAAAGTGCTGCATAATATGATGCTGTCATTCCTGAATCATTTTTGGAATTGATTTTGACTCCATTTTCAAGTTAAAACTTCACCAATTCAACATTGTTGAGTTGTGCAGCAAGGCAAATCATAGGACTGTATCTGATAGCATTCTCAAGAACTTCATCAACTTCTGTGAATATCTTGATGTAAAGGCTTGTAAAGTTAAACTCACAAAATATTTTGGATTGTTGTTGTTTTCAAAAATTTTAAAAATAAGTACAAAGTTTCTGCTCTAAATGCAGTCTACAATATTAATTGGGATACTTTTTGCAAAAAAGAATACCAAATCATTGTTGTGTGCACAAAGTGTATTTTGTACACAATCTTCTGTGAAGCCATTTTTTTGCATAACATTTCTTAAGAAGTTCTAAATTATTTCCAATGTACGCTAATTCAAAACACTTCTGTGTAATTTCGAGGTGTAATTCATCAACACAAACATTGAAACACTTTACTGCACTATAGTAACAACATCAAAAGTTTGTGTGCCTATATGGCAACAGAGAGAAAAATGTATAAATATGATGACAGTCTATAAAAAACAATTTTAGAACAATCGTAATATATATTGCATGTTGAAATATCAAATACAACGCGAAATATCCCGCTTACAATATAAGTTTTATAAGTTAACTGTAATTAAGTCAGTAAAGGATTCTAATTAAATCCATGAAAACATCTTTTACAAATGCAGATTGGTCTATATCAAGAAGGAAATGCTTGATTGCTCTTGAAAATTTTTTAGATTCTTCATCATTTGTCACAAAAGGAGAAGTAAACAATCTGCCTCTAAAAAGCTCACCATTAATACAAGTTGAGCTTAGCTGAAGATTCCCTGGAGGGTTTGGACCATTTGTAACTGAAAATGTGATCATTGCATCTTTTATGTCGCCGCCTGTTCTAATAATGCCAACATTGGACATAGAAATAGTTGCATAGTTTGGAAACACGTAAGTGTTATCTCTGACATGTTTAATTACATTTAATAATTCGCCATTATTGATTTTATTTATTAAATCTGTCTTGAAGCGCTTCTGAAGTTCACTAACGGTCATTTTATTGAAATCTGTATTTATATCTGTATGAGCATCTGAGACAACGAGGCCATCAATGTTAAGATGCCTCCAGTCGGGTTTTTTGAGGAGTCTTCGCGCATCAACAGCTGTATGGCAAGCCATTGTACCTAAATATCCATTGTGTGCTGATGTAACAAGGGATGTCGCAGCTAATAATTTTTCAGTAAAGCCGGATTGGTGGTTTTTGATAGGAAATTAAATTAAAATGAATTGTGCTCGTTTTTGAGATTGAGGAATTTTATAATTTCTGACTGGAGTTGTATGCGTTGAGATCGGACCATCAACTTTCTGAAATTCTGTGGATAAAGCATCAATAATTGATTCGTGTATCCTATAATTAAAGGTTTCGTTTTGCTAAAATTGTCACTTTTATAGCATATTTGTTTTTGGATGTTTTGCGAAACCAAAAAAAAACTATGATATACAATGTGTGTGTAAAGAAAATACTTTATTTACTAGTTAAAAAATCATTTGGTATTGATCAAGTTATTTCTTCTGGATAAGATATTATATGGATAATTGGATAGAAAATACAATTATATAATCTTGTACCTGGTTTAATTAAGCTAATTGTCATCAGAAACTTGTAATTTTTATGAATTTCAGATTTCTTTTCATTACTGCTTTTCTTAATAGGTCAAGTTCTTATTTACGTTATAAAGTATGATATTTACAAATATCAAGTTATCATGTTTTTTGAGAAATTATGAGAAACAAACAAAAATGAAAAAGATAGGAATAGCAATGAATAGTGATGTGGTATAGAAAATGTAAGAGATATGAATGCAAAGCAATCAGTATTTAGGATATTGACCATAGATTTCGAAAAAAAAAATGCTGCATATTGAGCGAAAACTATGATTATATTATAAGGCTGACATTTAAAGCATAATGAAACTATTCCCTTTTCATTTTAATCGAATAAGATAGTAAAGATTTTTGAATTAGCTAGAAACTGATGAGATGTTTTCACAAATCAGATTTTTAATCTCTATGATGCATAATTCACTCAATATCTCAATTTTGATATTGCGAGATATTTTTGCTATCGGTTTCGCAATTTTGACACAATAGCAAGAGGGTTCTATAAGCATTATTATCAACGTAGAATCTGAATATCATATCAGAAAATGTCGCAAATCTGACATTTACCCGACCAAATAGCAAAAATAATTGAATACTTTTCGCAAAAACTTTAAAAATCGATAAAAATATGAAATATAGATATTAAAGAGACTTTTTATATAATATTCATAAAGATTTTCCAAAAATATGATACCGCAAAATTAAAAAAGTGACGTCTTGAGTGGAGTCAAAGGTCGAAATTGCTAGCTAAATGTTTTTTTAGCGAAATTGCGTATTGTACGTTTTTTCGCAAAACGAAACCCTTACTATAATATGGATCTTTCGGAGTTTTCCTGCCGCATAAATGGTCTAATAACATTTTTAAATAGCCTCCATCTGCAGAGGTGTGGTTACTATTCAAAATAACTGTGTCATTATTATAACAGATGCATCCTAATCTCTGTTCCGAAAGAATTGTATAATGATCTGATGCATACATGTGCGCAAATTCTAAATGAGCCATGGCTCATTCGTATATTCATACTGTTTTCCATCAAATGTAGTCCTGCAACAAATTGCTTTTTTCGAAATTTCATCAACAACTTCTGAAACTTTTGAAGGTTTAACTTTGACTGATAGTTGAACATAGTACCCTACCATCTATTGCATAACTTCAAAATTATTTGCAATAATTTTATTAGGTCCTATCATAATTTAAAGAAAATTAAGTAAAATGAAATGATATGATATGATGATCTTTGAATTGCATACTTCATATGACTATGCCAACCTCAGTGAATATCTATAACAAAGATTTTACCAAATTCTAAAGAGAAAAAACATGTATTAACTTATGGAAAGAGGCATACCAGAAAAAAATTTCCTCTATCATGATCTCTCCTCTGGCTAATGTAAATGTTGTGAATTTCTTTTGATGGACATCGTACCATCATTACTATGAAAACAATTTAACATTAATCGAAATCCTCCTTGTAATATTAGGATTTAAACTCAGTTTCAGGCAGATTTTGGTTTTAAATTTCAGGAATTAGAATCAAATTATTTCATACAAATAATATCTTTGATTCAATGAAGGTATGTATTAAGTTCAAACTATAAATAATATTTTTTTGTTTAAAGTCCTAACTTTTATAATTGTAAACATAAAAATTATAAAAGTAGACCGCCGATCTTGAAATTATCATTAATATAGCCAATAATGCTGATATTGAGCTGCCGCAAGAGCTTTGTTGTTTGAAAATAAAGTTCTTGCATTATAATAGTATACCTTTAACAATTTTGATCCATCAATCGTTTTGATTTCATAACCGTCATTATTAATCAAATTCTATCTTCTGACATGATAGTGAAATTAAATTTTGACACTTTTACATTTTTGAATTCAAAAAATCTATCCATACTATCTTCCATCTTAACCACATCGAAAAATTATTAACAGATTTGAAGTGTCAGTACCTTTAAAAAAATAAAACTAAAAGTATGTGTCAGAAAAAAAGTAACCCTTGGAAAAAAATGGTTCAAATGGATTTTATTGTTTTTGTGTTCATTTAAAATTTTAGATTCTAATTTGAACCCATCAACACCATATAACAAGTATACCAATATAACTCATATTCACTATAAAATTTTATATTGCCTGATTAAAATTTAAGGGTGCACTTACCACTTTCTGACACTCTCTCAAAAAGAGATATACGGGTGTGAAGAGGCATAGAAAATAAAACCTTAAACAAGAAAATATTATTTCGTTTAACCTTAAATTTTTCTTTTTCTTTTGCCTTATTTTCATATGTTTTTGTCTTTATTTCATCTGGAAATTCAAGTTTTTGTTTTGCTAAGCATAAACCTGAAGATAAATGATGATTTTCTGGATACATTGAACTTACTTTCTTTATTATTCTGACATCTCCAAGTGTACCAGGTTTTGATATATCAAAATAACATCCTTCAACTTGAAATTGTTTGTATGTAAAGAAATACACTTCTCTGATTATATTTTTATTAAAACTGCAATTATTGATATAGAAATTATAATAACTGTAAATAAAGCAATTGCATCGATTTTCGAAGTAATTACAAAAAAGAATTTTAAATTCATTTAATGGACTTGATCCGTAATGATATATTTCATAGTACTCAGCTGTAGTTGTGTTGTTTGAAAATGTTGAAAATGTTACGTTTGAGTCAGAACTAAAACCATAAATAATGTAGACACTTTGTCGATAAAGCTTCGAATTTGAAATATTGATAGATTTCATATTTGTTTCACCATACTGTAAATAAATATTACTGTTATATTTTGGAAGTGCTTCTCCGCTTAAAGTAATTGTGGAGTCAAGGAGATGATTCTTAAATTGAGAACTGCTTGAAACTAAAACATAACAATAAGCGCCTTCTCTAATTGTGTTAGAGCCAAAACTGCAGATTCGGTCTTGAACACACTCACCTTTAAAATTTATGTATAAAGAGCCACCTTCTTCGCTCTTGTGCATGCATTTGTCAAATGTGCTTATGTCAATGAGGAATTTTAGGTTGTTGTTTGTTTCGTCTGTGATACGAACTGCACCTGTCTCATTAAGGTGAATAAAGAGACAACGAGAAATGTAATAGCAGCTTGGCGAGTTATAATCGAGTTTTTCGCGCTTCCTTTCGAACGATGTATGTTCAATTGAGGAGTTGAAGAAATCTGTCCACTCCTTGTGAGTAAAAAATCGAAATATATGAAATTGGTAAATATAATAATTGTTAACATCATCATTTCGATCATTATTTACTTGAATCTAAAAAACTAATGGAACTTCAGGAGGTGGCAATATTTCGAAAGAAAAATATATCAGTCTCAAATCAAATAAAAAAAAAGTCAACTTTGATTTTATCAGACTTTTGAATTGATTCAATATTTTACAAAAATATTTGAATATGAAAATTTTAGATCAAAAGTAATCAAGCAATATATAATAATAAGTAAAATTAGGCTAATAATATTTTTGAAAGAATTTTTTTTCCGAACTGATATTTACTTCTTCAATATATCGATAATGATTGGACTTAATGAGACTCAAAAAGTGTAAGAAAATCGCGAACAACTGTCAACCACACTTCCTTAAAATTAGCATAAGAGTTAAGAAATTTTGTAATGTCAAATTTCATAGGGAATTTTTGCTGTCTCATTATATATCAATTCTTCTTTGAAACAGTAAGTTATAGCCTTGCATTCATATATTGGTCATTTAACTTTAAAATATAATAGAGAGTGTGAATATGTTTAGAATAAGCCTAGTGGTCTGCCATCATTTAAGATAGCAAGAGCATAAGCCATGTAATAGCGATAGTGGCTTATCTTAATGCATGTAATTACACGGCATTCTTGAACGGATTTTTTATCAAGAAGGCCAACTTCGATAAGTTGTTTAAGGAATGACGCGCTTTTGTTTTGGATTTCAACACCACAATTGAGTCTAAAGCAATTGTAGAAAATATGAGTTTCAATATATTTAACACTATTAGGAATGTTGATATGACTTAATGATGTGCAATTAGCAAATGCATATTTACATATTTTTTCAACTGAATTATCTGGAATCAAAATATTAACTAAGTTTCGACAGCAATAGAAAGCAGCACCTGAAATCTCTCTCAGTGTTGTTGGAACATAGAAGTACTGGCATTCACATGCTGGTGGAAACCAGATCAATGATGTCTTGCTTTTGTTAAACAATGCAAAATTTTCTACTTCAAAATATTCACTTCCGTTGCATTCGAATCTTTTCAGTGATAAACAGCCTTCAAATAGGAAATTACCAAGTTTTTGAAGAGAACAGTTTTCTGGAATAATAAAATTCTCAAGTCGTTTGCAGTTCCTAAATGCGTACTCAGTAATAGAAATTGTTTGTTTTGGAACAACAAATGAAGAAATATTAGTGTTCTCAAATGCATTTTCATTGATTTCTTGAATTGTTTCTGGTAAGTTAATGTCAGTAAGATATGTCGCTCCTTGAAATACATTCGCAACAAGAACTTTAAGTGAAGAAGGACCTAAAAAGTTTATTTTTGTTAATTTAGAACCCGAAAATGCATTACTTCCGATACTTTTTATTGAACTAGGAATTTCTATTTCTGTAAATCCACAATAACTGAAAACATAACTATGTATATTTGTCAAATTTGTATTGAATATTATTGTTTTTAAATTAATACAACTTGAAAAAGCTCCTGGTCTTAATATCAAATGTCCATTTCCATCGAAAACTACGGATTCAAGTGATGTACATCCTTCAAAAGCACCATTACCAATGTTTTCAAGAGCTTTGAAATGTAAATTTTTAATTGAAGAACAAAATCGAAATGCATTAACATCAATCAGTCTTATCGATTCAGGGAAGTTTATGTTAACAAGGTTTTTACAATTTAGAAATGCCGAGTCACTTATTGTGCTCAATGTAGAATTTGGAGAAAAATTAATGGTCTTGAGTTCTGAAAATTGTTCAAAAACATTATTTTTTATGATTTCAACACTATCTGGGATATCGTATTGTTCTAGCTGGCTGAAGCACATGATAATAGATTGTTTATTAGCACCGTAAAGCAATGACTGATTATCAGCTGAAAAATTTGATCCTTCTGCAATTTCAATTGAAATATTTCTTGGAAAACATGCCCCGCCAAGGAACTCAATTATTTTAGGAAGAAATATATACTTGAGGTTATTACATAATATGAATGCTTGAGATTCAATACGAATAATTCCTTCAGAAAGTGAGATATTTGAAATATTTGAGTTTTCAAAACAATTTGTGGGGATAATTTTAACACCATCTCCAATGGATACTGATGTGAGATTGAGACAGTCCTTGAATGCTCTGCCTCCAATTGAAATTACTGAATTTGGAATAATTATTGAATTTAATTTTGAACTACTAAAGGCATTACCATTAATCCTTTTGAGATTTGGATTAATATTTATGTGTTCTATCGACGTACATGAAAAAGCAAATTCATCAATGGTTTCAAGATTATCTGAACATGTAAACTCCGTTCCGTGATTTTTTGGATAGACAATTAGTGTCTTTTGATCTTTAGTGTATAGTATTCCATCAACAACTGCATAGTATTCATTGAAAATGTCACATTCTATTGAAATTAAAGTTGGAATATTGATAATAGCGGTTCCTTCAATATATAAAACATTTCGTGGAATATAAAAAGTTGATAATTGAGTAGAGGCTAATGCTTTTTTTTGAATTTTTGTTAATTGTAAATTGTCTTCGAATGTTATTGTTTGTAGCATTGCACAATTATCAAAACAATAACCTGATAGCTCTGTTATGCCATGAGGAATATTTATAGAAGCTATATTGCAACCTTGAAAAGCTGAATTTCCAATTACTTCTAAATTTTTGGGAAGGATGACTGTTGATAGAGATTGGCAATAAAAAATGCATTTCCGTCTATTGTAGTGAGACATTCGCAGTTTGTGAAATTAATTGATGTTAATTTTGAACATTTTTGAAATGACCATACACCAATGGTTTTAAGTTTAGATTGTGGAGGAAATTCGATAGATTCAAGAGTATCCCGACTACCTGCAAATGCATAAATTCCTGTGTTTTCATTGCCGTAGATTGTTTCGCATTCAGGCTTAAGTACAACATGGACACAACCATCGGTAGAATATAGAACCCGATTGTTGTCAAGATAATTTTCACCAAAAACGATTTGTTAATGATTCCGTTGTCAAAAATTTTTATCCGCCTAATCTCAAATTTCAGAAAATACGATTAAAAATTTTTGAGAAGTATGCAATATCAAATGACTACAGTAATAATGTAATAAACAGAAATTCATCAAAAGTGACAGCTCTCAATTTTTTGACATTTTTAAATTCTAAATTGAATGAGAAAAATGAAATAATACTAAGCATAATACAATATTCTAGATTTAATTATAATTAGGAAAAAGTTAGTTTTGAGAGTACTTTTCATAGGCATATAGAATGAAATCTTCTGAAAAATAATATCACATAAACTCATATTATTTTCTAATATCTAACTATTTTATATAAAAATCAAATTCAATGATCTTAAAAGCGAAGGATAAACCTCAAAATTTACGAATATAATGAGTGGGAATAATGCTTATCTATCATAAAACCATATGAAATATCAATTTTTGCTTTACGTCTAATTTTTGACGACAATTAGCAAAAAATGTTAAATGTTAACACTCAGTCCATTTGAATATGAAAATAAAATTGACTTTGATTAAATGTTTTTATTTATCATGCAATTCTTCTTGCGACCAAAGATTTGAATAAAATTTCAAAAAATAAGATAGCTTAAAAATAACATACGGTAGTGTTTACTAAATAGATGAATAGTATATAAATTCTATTAAAATGGATTTGATCCAAAAAAATATATAAAATTTGATCATAAATAAAATCGTTTAAATTACTTCTTCATTTAAATTATAACAATTATTTTTGGTTTTATATTTTTTTGGATCAAATCCATTTTAATAGAATTTATATACTATTCATCTATTAGTAAACACTACCGTATATTATTTTTTAAGTTATCTTATTTTTTGAAATTTTATTCAAATCTTTGGTCGCAAGAAGAATTGCATGATAAATAAAAACATTTAATCAAAGTCAATTTTATTTTTCATATTCAAATGGACTGAGTGTTAACATTTAACATTTTTTGCTAATTGTCGTCAAAAATTAGGCGTAAAGCAAAAATTGATATTTCATATGGTTTTATGATAGATAAGCATTATATTCCCACTCATTATATTCGTAAATTTTGAGGTTTATCCTTCGCTTTTAAGATCATTGAATTTGATTTTTATATAAAATAGTTATATATTAGAAAATAATATGAGTTTATGTGATATTATTTTTCAGAAGATTTTGTGTTCTTCTTCAAAATTTTATTTTTTTATTAAAAAGAATCTTTACAAAATATACATTTACTTTAATTAATATTTAAAAACGTGCTCTATCAAAAGTTCCAAAAATTCAATATTTTAGCTTTTCTGAGGTGTCAGTTTTGATGAATTTCTGTTTACAACAATAACTTCAATATGTTGGAATAATAAAAATATCGACCGCCGTTCAAAATGAAAGAAGAGAAAAATTTAAAATGTTTATTTAGAAACAATACAACCAAGAAAAACTAAGATAAATTTATTACTTCGTTTATAGTTAACTTGTGTTTCTTCTTTTTCTTCTGTTTTTGTCCTTTTTTCTTCTGGAAATTCAAGTTTTAGTTTTGCATAGCATAAACCTGAAGGCAAATGATGATTTCCTGGATATATTGAACTTACTTTCTCTGTTATTATGACATCTCCAATTTTAGCAGGATTTGAAAAGTTAAAATAGCACCCTTTAACTTGAATTTGAATGAATGCATTGATATACCAAGTTTTGTAGGTATTTTTATTAAAACTGCAATTATTGATATAGAGAGTAATAGTAATGCCGATAAAGCTATCACATTTATTTTCGAAGAAATTACATAAAAAAATTTTATGATTGAATAAATCAGATATTGCGTTATGCCATACTTGACAGTAGCCATCTTTTGTACTTGTGTTGTTTGACAATGTTGAATTACTATTAATGGCGTAGATTCTAGGGTAATAAAATTTCGAATGTGAAATATATTGATTGACCTTATATATATTTCACCTTTACTCATATCGATATTATTGTTATCTTTTGGATTTTCTTCACCACTTGAAACAAAGAATATTGGAATACAATTTTGATTGATGGGTAAATTATTGCAAATATTTATGATAGCTATAATATTACAGTCACGAAGTGACCAAAATTTTGCTTATAAAGATTTTTTGAGATATGAATTATTCAAAAATAGTAATTCGGATTACAACCTTAAATTGTTTGATGTAATCATATTAAAAAAGTCCCTTCACTAGTTGGCATTAGTATCTGATGCGCAAGATGTTAAATACACACCCGATTATCATATTTTAATAGACACTCCAGTTGAAAAAGTTTCCATTATACTTGATCCACGAGTCCAAATCATCCAAGGAAATGATGAAAGTTCATATAGCTTTTTAAAATGTGCATCAACTCTTGAAAGCTTTACAGTTCAAGATGGTTCAAATCTCATTCAAATCCAAAAATATGCATTTTATAATTGTACATCATTAAAAGGTATTGATCTTTCTAAATGTACTAAGCTAACAACTATAGGTGAGTATGCATTCTCAAATTGTGTATCAGCCGCCAATTTAATTTTACCAAACTCACTAGTTTATCTAGGTACAAATTCATTTTCTTATATGCAATCTATTCAATCGATTTCTATCCCTCCTTTAGTTATAGAATTTCCTACTCAACTCTTTTTCCAGTGTACAAAATTACAATCAATTAATATACCAATGAATTCACAGCTCAGATTATATGGATGGCATTCACTTAGTAATACTTTAATAAATACTTTATTTATTCCACAAAAATTGAAAATACTTGCTCAAGGTTGTATTGAAAATACAATTCTAGAAACATTTACAATTCATCCAGAAAACATAGATTTTAGGATAGAAAACAGAATAGTTATCTCAAAAGATAATGTTACCATCTTATATCCTACAAAATTAACAGGAAATGTTAATATTCCTTTTGGAGTTATAGGAATTGGAGGTTCTTCATTTAGTATATGCAAATTTACATCTATAAATATTCCTAATACTGTACGAACAATAGGATCGTATGCCTTCATTGGTACTTCATTAATTGAAGTAGTTATTCCTGATTCAGTAACTTTTATTGATAAAAATGCATTTTGTACACCATATCTTAAGAAAGTTACATTATCAAAGAATTTAACTGTCCTAACTGAGTTATGCTTCAAAAATACGCAAATAACTGAAATACAAATCCCACCAAGTGTGAAACAAATTAATGATATGTGTTTTTTAGGATGCAAGATAACAGTTGTTTACTTACCTGATAGCGTTAAGATGCTGAATGGAAAATTTTTTAATGATAATGTCGAAATCAAATTTGGAAATAATTCAAATTTGTATGTCAACCAGGATTTCCTCATTCTTAATAAACAGAACACAACAGTTATTCAGCATATAGGGCCAAATTCAAATATTACAATATCGATTCCATCAACAGTTACCACAATCGGAAAAAACGCCTTCAGAGATAAAACTAAGCTAATTGAGATATCATTCCAACCAGATTCTCAGCTCGAAATAATTAATGGGTCTGCATTCTATAATTGCATATCTATGGTTTTTACAAGATTACCACAAACAGTTAAAACAATTGAAATATCTGCATTTTATCAATGTTATAAGCTCCAATCAATAAGTTTCCCTATTCTTACTTCAATCGGTAAATATGCATTTCAAAATTGCATTGGGCTTACATCAGCAGACATTCAACTTTCGAGCGTTGTCACGCTTGATCATTATGCATTTATGGGATGCAAATTATTGCCATCATTTAACTTGCCGAGAAATATCGAATATCTTGGGATTAGTGTTTTCCAAGACTGTATCAAACTGAACAAAGTACAATTCCGATCAACATTAATTTCCATCAAAGAATCCTGCTTCCAAAATTGTGCACTTGACAACGTTGATTTATCTCAATGCACAAATCTTTATGATATTTCAAACAGATGTTTTTACAACAACACTAATCTCCACAGTATAGCATTTCCTCCTTCGATAAGATCTTTTGGAATTTCATCACTTTCAATGACAGCAATCACATCTTTCAATGCAACATCAACAGTTTGCACTATATCTACAAAAACGTTTGATGGATGCCCATTACTTACTGAGTTTATCATTGATCAAGATTCTGTTCTTACTCCATCCGGACTTGGTGTAGATGTTTTCAGGAATTGCCCCAAGTTGCGAAATATTATATGTCTTAGTCAATACTTTCATGTAATCACAAGTGCATTATTCACTCCTGATGACGCAATCCTTATTATTTTCCCACCAGCATCGCGTGTTTCTTCATTTGGTCTTCCAGGAACAGTGAAAACTATTGGCGAAGGTGCATTCTCATTCTGCACTAATCTTCAGTCTGTTTTCATTCCATCTGACAGCCTAACAAGTGTTTCCGCTCGTGCATTTGAAGGATGCACATCACTCACTTGGATCAACATTCCTATATGCGTTCAAAATATTGGCATCAATGCATTCAAGGATTGCTCAAATCTTCTTTGTGGAGTCAAACTTGAAAACATTACAAAAGCATATATCAATCAGATCGTTACGAACAGTGGACTCACCAAGCAAGCATTGAACTCTTGTCGGGTTCAATCCTGTGTTCGTGACCTACCAAAGACTTCTCTCTCATATTCAACATTTGTTGTTATTATTGTAATGTAATAAAAATATTTCTTTTTGATTTTGTGTAATAATTTTATAATTAAATCTGTAAGAATATTGAAAAGGAAGAATCATTTTACAAGATTGATTCTGGGATATCAAATGTCAGAACGAATATTTTGTAATATCTAATATAATCCTAATGAATTGTATAATTTTACAAAATATTTCCATTTAAAGATTAGATATGAGTTTCAGCTTGCTTCAATAGCTAGGTCGATGAAATTACATTTCATTTTTAATAAAAACAGCTAAAGAAAAAATGTTATACGAAAATCTTTAATGATAATGGACAATGGTTCTATTTACATGAAATGAATATTAAATTGAAAATGTGTGCACCAAATGGATAGAGCCTAGTTGGCAGATTATTTGTGAATCAACAGATGTTATGAATAAATTTACTGCATTTATTAAAGAAGAAACTATAGCATTTGTTGAAAATAAAAGATCTATATTAATATTTTGAAAATTTAAAGAAATGATGTTAACTGATAATTTCTTCTATTATTCCAAACTCCGATCTGAAAAAGTCTAAGGAGTGCTTTTTCTATTCATTGCATCTTAATCTCAAGTTGAATATGCTAAGATCATCAACTAAATTCAATGGAATAACTCAAAATATAATACTTTTATGATGAAAAACTGAGAGGGATCTATTTAGTGATGCTATTCTCACCTTCTAGAACACGATATTCATCGAGTTATGATACCTGTAAATTGCAACATATTTATTGAAAGTCAAAGAATCATCTCTATTTGGGTATAATTCTTCTTCTAAAATATAAAACATTTTGGAAATTGCAACATATTTATTGAAAGTCAAAGAATCATCTCTATTTGGGTATAATTCTTCTTCTAAAATATAAAACATTTTGGAAATTGCAACATATTTATTGAAAGTCAAAGAATCATCTCTATTTGGGTATAATTCTTCTTCTAAAATATAAAACATTTTGGAAATTGCAATATATTTATTGAAAGTCAAAGAATCATCTCTGTTTGGGTATAATTCTTCTTCTAAAATATACAAGACAATGTTTAACTAAATAATCTTAATAAATTTATACATCATGTCCAGTACAATACATCATCAACATCAACTATTTTTCAAATATACAACATTTTTGGAAATTTCGAAATGCTTATTGAAAGTCAATAATAATAATAAAAAATTAAATTGTTTAACAAATATACAAAATAATTGTTATTTCTTGATGATCATAGAGTTCCTCTTGCTCATGAATGCGCCCTTTCTAGTAGGTGTAACTTTAGAAACAATGACGTTGATCTTAGGCTTCCTTGCCGCTGGAGTTCCTTGTGCTGGTTGGTCGACAGGAGTTGTCAAAAGTTCTGTCAAAACCTCCATGATAGGACGAGATGGATCCATCTTCTTTCTCTCCTTGATGGCCGCTGCAGATGGTTTCCATGCGGATGAGTTGCTTGCGACAGGATTGATCTGGAAAACTTCAAGATTTCCTTCATCCTCGCTGTCTTCGTTTTCATCGGAAAACTCCATTCCGTCGTTGTCTTCTTCTTCCTCTTCTTCTTCGAAGATTTCTTCAACAGTTTCATCTTGAGCTCCTGGTCCTGCTGTCATCATCGCTGCAACATCTTCGTTTGATGGTTTAACTGATGACGAAATGATCTTCTTTTCGACAATTGACTGGACATGTCTCTGTGCTCTGATGTTTGATGTCTTCGTGAGCTGTACAATCTCTTCAAAGTCCATGTCATCGCCTGTAAACAAGCTCTGTTGAGGAATTAATGATTGGCGATGCTTCTTAGGAACCATTGATACTGCATGACGGGCTGTCATGATGTTTGCGCGGTTCGCCCATGTACTACCAAGAGAAATCTTGTAGAGGATGTTTGTAGGTGTCTTCATTCGCTTCTCGATGCCGCCATAAAGATAAATATAATTATTATCATAGGTATAAGCGGCTTTTCTTAAGCTATGAGGGACATTTCCGACATCTAAGACCTTGTGGCATTCGAATGTCTCGCTATCGATAGTATATGTCGGTAATGTTTCTTCAATCGAAGAATTACGACCTCCGATAATAAGAATTGAGGTTCCTATTACGGCCATTGCGTGACAAGCGCGAGGAGGAAGAGGTTCTCCGCCGATAGCGACCTGTTGCCAGACCATTGCGTTCATATCCAACATCCACATGTCGCTAAGGAACTCTTTCTTTGACGCCTTGCCACCATGAAGGAAGAGGTGATCGCCGATGATGACAACGGCATGGCGGTAACGAGCAGATGGTCGACCACCTGGCGGATTTATGGAAGTAAGGGAGTTTTTGACCGGATCGAACATGATAAGGTCATCAAGAATATTTCCGGATGGAGTTCTGCCTCCGAAAATGTAGAAGTTTTGACCATTCGATGTTGTCGTATGTCCGTAACGGGCTGTAAACGATTCTGCGCCATTGAGAAGTAATTGGGACCATGTCTGCTGTAGGAAATTGTAGGAAAGGAACTTCTTAAACTCCATCATTTTATTCTTTCCGCCAATAATGTAAAGTTTGCCTTCATCGATATTAACAGTATGTCCGTAACGGCCATTAGCGATCGAAGTAATCTCTACGCAGTTCAAATCGTTCAATCTGATGGCTGTAAGCATAGATGTTGGATTTCTTTCGTCATTTCTCTGGCCACCGAAGAAAATGAACGTAGTATCGTACAATACGCATGACGTATTGCAGGTAGGAGGGAACTCTATTGATGTCTGGAGAACTTCCCAGTTTATTGTATAGCCATGGCCGAGTTTTAGTAAGTATTTGTCCTTGCTGGACTCGATCGTCGCGAAGAACTCTGTAAATCTGTCGGGGTTGTCGAACTGGATAATGATGAATTTAACTCCATTTGGAGTATCATCGTGTAGTTTGAAAGTTTGCTCATTAATGTATGAAAAGTGGAAGTTGTATATATCGCTCTCGTAAATGATAGTGTAGTTCTTGTTGTTGTTTCGGATTAATAAAATAATATCATTAAACACGTAAAAAGTGCCCGAAGAGCTATTTTTGTCGGAAATTGTGACGTTCCAGCAGTTTATGAGGTTCCTGTCTGGCTTGAGAATGACGTATTTGTTTGTTAAGTTGCTTTGGACCGAAATTAACTTTAATTCACGATTTGCCTTCTTTGTAGCAACATCTACATGCTTTGAGAGATCGTCAATCATCTGCTTAGCCAATGCGCTGCGAATTGAGTCCGGATGGAAAGGAGGAGAATATTTATTCAATTCCTTGACGAAAAGCATGTATCTAGGGATTCTTTGGACTATAGAAATCATAAATGATAAGAATTCTGTACCGTTTTGTTCTTCTGCCAATTGTTTGATTAATTTAAGAATTCTCGCATCTTTTGCCTTTTTGTTCATCAAATCTGTAATTTCTTGTTGGTAAGCGATAGCGTGTGTAGCGACTTTGAAGTCTTCTATGTGGCGCATGATAATTGGCAAAACAGATAAACTATAATCGATTTTATAAGAAGCCATGTCATCGTAGAACGCCTGTTGAGCTTTAACGATCGCGGGTATATCATCGAAGAGGGTTTTTATTTCGGCTTGTGTAAAGAAAGCTGATCTGAGGAATTTTGGCTTCCAAAAGTCGAGAATTATATTTAAGTAATTAATATATTTCTTTTCTGTCTCGAACAGTTCGTAAGTGACACTGTTACGCTTAATCACACGTTCTTCGCCGCTTTGTGTAAACTCGAAATTATAAGTCAGGCCATTCGTTTTAGCTAAATTCGGCAGTTCCTGAATGGTGGTACTGGCACTAACATCTTGACCGTTTGACTGAAGGCTGATAAATTTATGTTCAATCGTAACGAATTTTGTAACCTCTTCTAGGAACTGAGTAACTGTTCCATTATTGAATAGTTCTTCGGTAATGGGAACATATATTTTTGGAAGGGTTAGCTCATGCTTTGATTTTGGATGAATTGCAATCGATATTTTTGGATTTTCTTCGTTTTGCCCGATAAGAAATGTTTCGGGGATGTCATACTTTCCTATATTATTCTGGACTAATTCGTTAATCCAATCCCCGATAACAGCATTATTGTCAAGCCTCTCTGAATAATTTTTGAATCTTGCACATATAAATTTGCTTTCAGAGAAAAATCCAGAACGAACTGTCTCAACTGTTTGACCTACGAACATCGCAATATCAAAAGTCTTGTTGACATCGTTAGGATTAATCAGACAAATCGAACTCATTAATGACGATTAAATTTGCTTCAATTTTCATAAAATAATGAATAGAAAATATAATTGATCAGTTCTGTAATGATTAGATAAAATATCCTAAAATATTATGATTTTCACAGTGATTTCTCTTTGATCTTTATGATTTCATAATAATTTCTTGATATAAACAATTATTTATAAATAAATCGATTTGGTTTCTAAAACTAAATAGTCCTGCAAATATCAAATTTTCAAAAATTTAAAATTTTTATGACTTTGATTGAATTTTTATATTTTTTCAAGATAATTTTTTGTAATCAGATTATTTTTTTGAGTTTTGACTTAATGTATTATTTTAATAAATCAGAATTACTTTCTAAATATCGCTAAAAATTTCTAAAATAATTGGAAAAGATTGATTTCAGATTTAAATATTGATGAGAATCGAACAAAAACCTCATAAATAGCATTTCATCCAAGAAATTAAGATTATAAAGCAATAATCTCAAATATTTATTTTGGATCTCTCGGATGGTCTGAGATTCAGAGGTCAAATTATAGCAACATCACAGCTACTAGAAAATAGTTTTAAATCAAGGGGTTTCGTTTTGCGAAAAAAACGTACAATACGCAATTTCGCTAAAAAAACATTTAGCTAGCAATTTCGACCTTTGACTCCACTCAAGACGTCACTTTTTTAATTTTGCGGTATCATATTTTTGGAAAATCTTTATGAATATTATATAAAAAGTCTCTTTAATATCTATATTTCATATTTTTATCGATTTTTAAAGTTTTTGCGAAAAGTATTCAATTATTTTTGCTATTTGGGAGTAGGTGACAAAAGTGCATACTCTTAAACAACCGTCGGATTTCCGGGTGAAATCGTGACACACTTTCGTCTTTCGTAGGCAGTGGTGGTTGTTACAAAAGGTAACTTCGAATGTAGCGTGAAATCTGCAAAAAAAATTCTGAAATTTGAATGGAGAACACAAAAATTGAATAGTTTACGTCAATAAAAAAGAGAAAAATGAAGCCAATGTGTCTCGAACCTAGGACTTAGAGCAGCAATCACAATGTTTATCACATTACACTACATGCATCTCTCACCTCAGTGAATGAGATCAACTATATGATAACTTTTTCCCCATTATATTCTTGTGGAAAAGTGACAAATAGCAACTTTGACCCTCTCTCTGCTATTTGGTCGGGTAAATGTCAGATTTGCGACATTTTCTGATATGATATTCAGATTCTACGTTGATAATAATGCATATAGAACCCTCTTGCTATTGTGTCAAAATTGCGAAACCGATAGCAAAAATATCTCGCAATATCAAAATTGAGATATTGAGTGAATTATGCATTATAGATATTAAAAATCTGATTTGTGAAAACATCTCATCAGTTTCTAGCTAATTCAAAAATCTTTACTATCTTATTCGATTAAAATGAAAAGGGAATAGTTTCATTATGCTTTAAATGACAGCCTTATAATATAATCATAGTTTTCGCTCAATATGCAGCATTTTTTTTTTCGAAATCTATGGTCAATATCCTAAATACTGATTGCTTTGCATTCATATCTCTTACATTTTCTATACCCACATCACTATTCATTGCTATTCCTATCTTTTTCATTTTTGTTTGTTTCTCATAATTTCTCAAAAAACATGATAACTTGATATTTGTAAATATCATACTTTATAACGTAAATAAGAACTTGACCTATTAAGAAAAGCAGTAATGAAAAGAAAATCTGAAATTCATAAAAATTACAAGTTTCTGATGACAATTAGCTTAATTAAACCAGGTACAAGATTATATAATTGTATTTTCTATCCAATTATCCATATAATATCTTATCCAGAAAAAATAACTTGATCAATACCAAATGATTTTTTAACTAGTAAATAAAGTATTTTCTTTACACACACATTGTATATCATAGTTTTTTTTTTTTTTGGTTTCGCAAAACATCCAAAAACAAATATGCTATAAAAGTGACAATTTTAGCAAAACGAAACCCTTATTTTAATCATGGAAAATATAACTATCTTCATTACATTTCGTTTCGAAATCAAACTTGATATGATCAGTAAATGGTATCACTCAACATTCACCCATTTCTTGCAATGACAATTACAACAAAAGAAATTGAAACGAAATAAATGCATTTCATATCAAAAGTGACAAAAATGAGTTCTTCAATCGAACAACTCCTTGCAAGTCTTCACAGAGGTGACCAATCAGAAGCTTTATTAGAGAAGGCTGCCGCAAACATTGCTGAGCTCTCTAAACACAATGAACTTTACGAACTTCCTTTCGGAGTTTTCCAAAAAATCATTGCAAAGACATCAATCATGCCAGTATTTACAATCAACAAGATCCTTACAGCTGCTTTAATGTCATACAAATCTCTTGCTTACTGTTTAATTCCTCTCATAAACTGTGGTCATATTGGACAACACCAAGCAATGATGGCTCTTGCATCCCTCAGCGATGCACCTTTACTCCATGAAATCTGTACACAGCAAGCCGCCCCACCACCACCAAAGCCTACCTCTCCTTCAAAAGATGAAGTTCGCCGTGCTCCTATTCTCAAGAACTCAGCCAATGTTCAGGAGATCGCTAAGCGTGCTGAACAGAAACTCAGTTTCATCCATTACTGCGAAGTTGGAAAGGTAGAAATCATCAAAGACTTGTTATCTAAGAATCCAGGTCTTATTAACGAACGTAATGACTACGGTGATTATCCAATCCACAAGGCTGTCTGGAATGACCACCCAGATGTTGTCAAAGTCCTTCTTGACTACAAATCAGATCCAAATGCTATGGATAACAATAAATCTACACCGCTTATCAAAGCATGCGCTAGAACTAGCTATAGTTGCGCTAAAATGTTGCTCGATGCCGGTGCAGATCCAGATCATATCTCAAAACTCGGATCTTCTGCACTTCTCATTGCCGTTAGCAAAGGAGCTACAAAGATCGTCAAGGAACTTCTCGATCACAATGCAAATCCTGACGTAATGGGTAAATATCAGGATACAGCACTTCACATCGCTGCTCAACATGGTTTTACTGACATTGCTCAGCTTCTTGTTGATGCTGGTGCAAACGTATTGTTAAAGAACAACCGTAATCAGCTTGCTGTTGATCTTGCCTCAAAACAGGCAATTAAAGACATGCTGCAAGAATAATAAGCTATGCCATAAGTAATTATCGAATATACGACATTTTACTTCCTGTAAATAATCTTCAAACAAAAAATTTCATTTCCATATTTTTATTTTTTAGAATTTTGGTGAAACGTGCTAACTTTTTGATCTAGACACAATCATTTGATATTGAAATCGTGAAAATTACCCATGAGTTGGCGTTTGAAATTTTATCCAAAAATTGACACTTTTCAGACGTTTTGTCAGGGGCGAGAAGTGACCCAAAAATGTCTGGATAGTGTTATTCTCAGGAATATGATTATTTTTTTGCTTTTAATGCCGAACAGCATTTGAATTAAAAATAATCGTTTGTCTGAGAATTGCTAATTTTGACACTTTACAAAATTTTGATAAAAATTTAAAGAAGCGGTCTTTTCTATTATAGATCAGAATGAATAGTGATTGAAATGATTATATCAATAATAAGTAGATTCATAGAATCCATATATTTCTCTCTATTTCTCACAAGGAGTGGGAAGATTTCTTCAACTCTTCAATCACTTATACACCGTACAAAAATGAAAGCAATAAGCTCGATAATATTTCACCAAACAGCTATTACGTCTCTCTTTGCTTGTTTATTTACCTTAATGAGACAGGTGCAGTTCGTATCACAGAAAATACAGATCAAAATCTTAAATTCCTCATTGATACAAGCGCATTTTACAAATGTATGCACGAGAGCGACAAAGGTGGCTCTTTATACTTAAGTTGTACTAAAGGTGAGTGTATTCAAGACCGAATCTGCAGTTTTAGCTCTAACACAGTCAACGAAGGCGCCTATTGTTATATTTCAGTTTCAAAAACATCTCCATTTAAGAATTATCTCCTTGATTCAACAATTACTTCAAGTGGTGATGAAAATCCAAAAGAAAACAGTAACATTGATTTAGAAAATGGTGAAATAAATATGAAATCAATCAATATTTCAAATTCAAAACTAGATCACGAAAGTTTCTACTTTATTTTTTGTAATTCTAACTCAAACGTAACACTTTCAACATTTTCAAACAACACAACTACAAATGAAACATATTGTCAAGCATTTCATGATGGATCAATTGGTCAAATTAAAATTCTTTTTTGTAATTACTACGAAAATGAAGGCAAATACTTTATTTTCAGTTCTATTACTCTCTATATCAATAATTGCAGTTTTAATAAAAATAACATCAAAGAATTATATATCCATACATTAAGTCAAATCCAAGTTAAAGGATGTTATTTTGACATTTCAGATCCTCCTATTGGTTTATATGTCACAATAACAGAGAAAGTAAGTTCAATGTATCCAGAAAATCATCATTTGTCTTCAGTTTTATGTTATTCAAAACTAAAACTTGAATTCCCAGAAGAAATAAAGACAAAAACAAAAGAAAAAGAAGAAATCCAAATTAACTATAAACGAAATAATAAATTTAATATCTTAGTTTGTTATATTCTTCTCATTCCTAAATAAACAACTAAAGGGTGCATATACGCCCCACTTACATACCCTTCAATTATATTGATGTTGATTTGGTGTTGAGATAGTGAACGTTGTCCAATATATTTGATGCTTGAACTTTTGAAATTTCGAAAATTTTATTTTTGACATTTTACAAAATTTTATATGGAATTTTTTTTTCCCATTTCGAAATTCTGGTATTGCAATTGTTTATCAAAATGAAGAATGATTGAAGTGATTATACCAATGATCAGTAGATTCATCAATTTCATATATTTCTCTCTATTTCTCACCAGGGGTGGGAAGATTTCTTCAACTCTACAATTGAATACACATTATACAGAAATGAAAGTCAAAGATTTCCATACAGTTCACCAAACAACTACTACGTTTCTCTTTGCCTGTTTATTCACCTTAATGAGACAGGCGCAATTCGTATCCGAGACGAAACAGACAAAAATATCAAATTCCTCATTGATACTAGCTCATTTGACAAATGAATGCACGAGAACGAAGAAGGTGGTTCTTTATACATATTTTGTTCTAATTGTGAGTGTATTCAAGACCGAATTTGCAGTTTTGGCTCTAACACAGTCAGACTTGGCGCATATTGTTATATCATAGTTTCAGATAGTTATCCGCTTAGAGTCCATCTACTTGAATCAACAATTACTTTAAGTGGAGAAGAAAATCCGGAACGTAACGATAATATTTATTTCCAAAATGGTGAAATAAATATGAAATCAATCAATGTTTCGCATTCAAAACTTAATTACGATAGTATCTACTGCGCTTTTTGTAGTTCTGACTCAAACGTAACATTTTCAACATTTTTAAATAACACAACTATAAATGAGAATTTCACTGAAGCAATTCATACAGGACGATCTAATTCATTTGAATTTAAAATTTTTTTTGCAATTACTTAGAAAATAAATGCATTGACTTTTTTTACAGTTCTTATAATCTCTACATCAACAATTGCAGTTTTAATAAAAATGACGTCAAACAATTTTATTTCATTGGATGGACTCAAATTCAAATTAAAGGGTGCTATTTTGATATTTCAGATCCTAATACAAGTAGAAATGTCATAATAATAGAGAATGCCAGCTCAATGTATCCAGAAAACAATCATTCGCCTACAGGTTTATGTTTCTTAAAACTTAAACCTGAATTTTCAAAAGATAAAGAAGATATAAGAGTTAATCATAAACGGAATAATAGATTTAATAACTATGTTTTCTATATCTTTCTCATTCCTAAAAAACATCATAAATTTTCTCTGATAAAAGCCCAACAAAAGTCTGATAAAGCTAATAGTTTAACTTGAACTTTTTCTGTTCTTATAAATTTGAGGATAAGTAATCTTATTATTGGGTTTCATCTCTTTATAAATGCAAAGCAAGATGAAATCAAATTGTTGGAGATTCGACATGCGATGCCTAACAAATTTGGGCATACCATCATAATTTCTTCAATTTTTTTCATGAAATTTCATAATTCTGCATTTATCTTTCATATTTGTCATATTCTCGCTCCAGTTATTATATTTCCTTCGTAGCTTGTTCTGAAAAAATCAAATATTTCTTACGATAATTGATACAATGATCGATGTTGAATGAAATGGGGCGGCGACAAATTTGCCCAGCCAGTAAAGTATTCAATTTTTTTGCATTTTTTAAGGGTGCACACGAGAGGATCATGTAAACTTCAGAATTTAGCTTCTTAAGGGTGCACCCGTATGTACGTTTATTTGAGAGGAGGAGGATTACCCTCTCAATTTTGAAGGATTCGTTAGTTTATTTTCTCGATGAATATGCAATAAAATTTGATTTTTACCTTATCAATATACTTCATATAATATACACATGTTCATGTAAAAACTTTTTTCCAAAATCCTCAGGAATTAAGGGATTTTTGAATTTTAAGAATTTTTTCGAATTTTTTCGAAAAAAAAATATTTTCAGAACAGCCTTAACGGCTAAGATTTAGGAACAATGTTAAGTATCAAAAAGAAAGGAGGTCTGATATAGACAACATATATCGTTGAAGGTTGAAAAAATCTCTAATATTTGAGCCCAAAATTTCAAATTTTAATTTTTTGAAAAAAGAGGCCACCCGTATGTACGTTTATTTGAGAGGAGGAGGATTATATCTTTGAAAGGGTGAAACATTATGAATATGTTAATTATATATAATATGTATTATTATAAAAAAGAAAAAATAAAGCACGTTAAAATTTTTCTTTCTTGATTTTTTACAAAATCTACTTAGAATTATGCAAAATATGACTAAATAATTATAAATTTCAAGTTAAATTTTAATTTTGATAAATAATTTAAATTTCAAAATATCAAGTTCAGTTCGACTATGTATGTAGTAATTCCTCAATAAAGTGCCAAAACCTTATTAAAATATATGAACATTTTCAACATTTTAATGTTTTTATTTAAAAATTTGATGGAATATGAACTTCAAACAATTATTATGTAAATAAAAATAATTAAATATATGTATTTATTCGTATTACAACCGTAGTAAGTCGATTCTTCCTTTCTTCTACTGAGTTTTGAATTTGATTTCGAATTGTAAAGAGATTCAAAGGGAAAATACTAGCGGATAAAAACTACCTCCATGAAAGGGTCATAATGGAGTCAAGTTGTATTTTTTTGATATTTTTTGCTTTTCGAGCCTAAATAGGTAGCCAAGATAATGCCTAAAAATAAGGTTCTAAATTCTGAAGTTTACATGATCCTCTCGTGTGCACCCTTAAAAAAAAAAGCAAAAAAAAATGTAATAAAATAAAAAAATTTTTAGTATCGATAATCTGAAATATGTTGTTTACTTAAGCCGCTCGCTTCGCTCGCGGCTTAGTTTCGTGATTTCGTACAATCTTTTTTCGAATCTGTTCTTTTCTTAAGCCGCTCGCTTCGCTCGCGGCTTAGTTTCGTAATTTCATACAATCTTTTTTCGAATCTGTTCTTTTCTTAAGCCGCGAGCGAAGCGAGTGGCTTAGTTTCGTAATTTCATACAATTATTTTACGAATTTGTTCTTTTTGTCAACCGCGAGCGAAGCGAGTGGCTTTTTATTTTTAAAAATTTTTTTTCTTTCTGACTTTTTTTCCCCCTTACTTACAAATTTGATAGTAACTTACCAAATCTCTCTATCATATAATAATAAATTAATCCATTTTTTGTTTCAAATCTGACACTCTACATTTCTGACATGTAAACATGTCACTTTTCACTTCACCTCACTGGGCAAGTTTGTGCCCCCTCGAATGAAATAATCAGCCAATAATAATCACATAGAGCATGCATCTATTTTTCATCAGCCATTTTAGCTCAATCTCCAGTAATCAATAATTTCATTACACGCACTGAAAAAAAATTATATTTTTATGAAGAAAGTAATCGTTTCGATTATAGAGACGATTCCTCCTTCTAAATATAAGTTCAAAGTGGCAGCTACCACAAAAGGTAACACTTTTCGTGAATATGTTGCCAGAGAAATCGTTTCTTTGATAGATGTTGATTTCTTTTTCATTATCATAGAAAAAGGAAAGGATCCGCTCTTTCTGGACGAATCATTACCATTTTCACAGATATCGGAATCAAAAAAGATTCGTTTGCGCCTGATTGTAAAAAATCAACATTTGAAAGTTCGAATTTCACCTACAGTAGTCAAATTATACAATTTTGATTTAACGCAAAATATCATTACTAACCTAAGGAACATGAGACTCGATAAGCCAGAGCTCTATGTTTTATCTTTCAAGAAAAAAAAAGAAATTTTGACTCGTGTTTGCTCAAATTCAATGCATTTGATATTACACAAATGGAAAGGTGAGCAATTAACTCTTCACCGTCAAGTTTTACCAAACGAATACAAAGTTTCTTCAGAAGAAGAATCAAATTCATTATTATCGAATTTTCAACTCCAAATACAAGATGGCGTAATGTATTTTTCACGCTTTAATTGGGGTGTAACAGCAGGCTTCAACTATTTACTTGATAATCAAAGCGAAGACGTGAAAAAAGCATCATTAACAAAATATCTTCCGCAAATTGTCAATGTCAGCGATACAGTATATAATTCAGCCAAAGAAATCATCAATAGATACAAATCGGCTACTAAATTTGATATAATTCAGGATTATATCACCAATATAAGAAAATGGGGGACAGGATGCTGCCATTCTGAACATATCAAGTTCCAACTTAAAGACGATAAGCGTCACATGCAATCAAACCGTGTTATCCACGTTTCTCTTCAGAAAATTATCATTACAAAAAATTTATACGACAATATCCTCATCTACGAGCTGATTTCGGACATTGTATCAGTTGATATTGCTGATGACCACATAATGATCAAGTTTAAAAACGGAGTTTCGTGGAAAATTAAATCGAACTCCCAACTCGTTCTGTTTAACTTCATTCTTGATACAATCGAGCTAAACAAGCATCTTGATCCACAATCTACCAAAATAATCTCGAGAAGTGTTGACGATTTGCCTGGATTAGTATTAGACTCCGGAAGTCGAACAGACAGCTACGCAGTGTTTAATCTTAGAGATGTAAATTACGATTCAGATGAAATTGATAGCGAAAGTCAAGAATCATCTGATAGTGATGAAGATGACGAAGATATTCTTATTCAGACCCAAATTTACAGACCACCAATCATCAAAGATAACATCATACAGGGAATTTCCGCAATAATTCCTCCAAATCTGTCGGAAGATCCAGATTCTCAGTATTCCATTGAAAACCAACAGTACAGGAACCTCAAGGTCGTTAAGAAACTTGTTATTCCTGATACAGAATCAATGCATTTCTCTGATTCGGTTCCAGATTTATCATCTTTAGTTCCAAAGGCTTCGCGCGATGAAATTATACCATATAATTATATTAAGACTATTTTATTCTTAATCGGACTTGTTTTACTTCTTGTTTTAATCAAAAATACCTAAATTGTTTGTAATCTTTTTGTTTATCTTCTAATTTTTACTTCATCATCTAATACTCTTCAAATAAGAATAATATTTGCTTTTGTAGCTTTAATATTATTTCGAAATCATTTGATATCATAATTGGCCGATTATACTTTTAGAATAAACTAAAACCATGTTAAGTTTTTTAATGGTCCATTCTTTGATATCCTGAAAAATAAAATTCAATTTGAAAAAAATTTTCAATAATCAGACATATTGACATAGCAATTTATTTTTATCATATATAATAGAATATAAATAACTAGAGAAATCATATTGTTAAAATCAAAAATTTTTTTTTGTAAAATTTAATGAAGGGCGATTTGGGACTTGCAGTTCAGTACTGTGAGCAGAACAAAGAGACATCACTCGCCCTACTTCTCAAAAACACATCACTCGTTAAATCCGTCGTTGAACAATATAAATTTAAGACGATTACAAGAACAAATGTTCCATTATTATCGATTGCTATTGGAAGTAAATCAATGGAATGTGTTAAATTACTTATTAGTAATGGAGCTGATATTGAAGCGCCAGATGGAGTTCTTTATTTTCACTCATAGTATTCAATTTTATATCTCATGGTATTCTTTTTAATTTTATTCACGTCCTATACATTGGGCATGCTTAGTAGGTGCAGATCAGTGTTTAGCTTTACTTATTCAGAATGGTGCTGACCCAAATCCAAATCAAAATCCATCAGTCACAATTCCTCTAATTATCGCCGCAAAGAATGGTTTTACTAGTTGCCTTCAGATTCTTCTTCAACGTGGTGTTGCAGTTGATCAGCAAGATGGCGCTGGTCGAGCTGCATTACATCATGCTAGTTGGTTTAATCATGCAGATTCTGTACAGATCTTACTTACCATGGGTGCCAAAATCGATCTTACCGATTCATCAGGACATACAGCTTTACATCTTGCTTCGTGGTTTGGTCATGTCGAAACATGCAAAGTTCTTATTGAACACCACGCTCCTCTTGATGTTAAAGACAACGCAGGTCGTACACCATTACACTTTGCTTGTCAACACAATCGACCTGCCATTGTTAGTCTTCTTGTTGAAGCCGGCGCTGATGTTATGATTGCAGATTGCAATGGTAAGACACCCGAGCAGATTGCTGCACAAGAAGATCGTGTTTCTATCTTAGAATACTTACAGAATGCTACAAAAGATACCAACAAGTCAGATTCTACATCTGGTCATCCTCCAGAAGTCGAATTTGTTGAAGAACATAATAAAATGAAGGCAACTATCTTGAAGTTGTCAGATTTACGTGAAGAACAGTTTGAACAAGTAAATGCATTACAAAACCGCATTGAGAAACAACAAGCGACACTTTCATCCCTTGAAATGAATACTACTCAACTTAAGATGAAACTTGAAGTTATTCATTCCCTTCTACACGCTTCTCTTAAAGCTATTACAGACCTTCGACTATCATCTACAAATCCACAATCATCAGGTATCCACTTTACTATGACTAGAACCCCAACAAATACTTCTATTAACAACGCAAGCATGCAATCGCAGATTAACATGACTAACCCATCTCTTCAATCTCCTATTAACATTGGCAACCCTGGTATTCAATCACAGATGCAGATTCCAAACCAAGGAGTTATAAACCGTCCATCAGCATCACAGCCACAACCACAACAACAAATACAGAATCGCGCACAGACTACTACACCTAAACCAGTTCCACAATCACCGTTACAGCCATCTGTCATTTCTAAACCAAATGTTTCTACAATGCCAACAATTCCACAAGTCCAAGGAACTCCGATCAACTCAATCCTTGGCAATGCGAACATCACTAGCTCTCCTCTTCTCAATGCACCAAACCGTGATACATCTCCACCAGTCACACAACTTGGAAGTGTCGACATCCTTACACAGATGACTAATCGATCAAATAACAAAATTAATGATCCACTCTGCAACATCTGCCACAAGAATGTTGCTACAGAGAAGTGCCGAACATGCGGTAACTTGATATGTGATGCATGCCTTGAAGAAGTCAAACATGTCTGCCCAATTTGCCATCCTAAAGTCGTCGAATAACTAAATTTAAAACTTAAAAGTAAAAAAATATGTTTCATGGTTTTAATTTCTATTTTTATGTGATTTTAATGAAATTCATATGACTGATTAAATCTTACAGCATCAGAAAAAGATTTTTATTAATCATTTATACCCTACTTTTCCTACTTACATTTTTGAGAGGTTGATTGTAAAACTTCATTAGGAAGAATATTATTTCAGAAAACATATCCTCATTGTTAATAGATTTTGAATTTAAAATAAACTTTGGTTATAATTACAAATATTTTATGAATAAAACAACAATATCAATAAAACTTCGAAAAATTGGTAAAAATCTAATTACAAAACCATAAACATGAATTACTCAAGCTTAGAATTTCAATAAACGCATCGCAAATCAGTTCTATGTGAGGATGTCGGGTGGAGGAGATTCCAAAGAGATACTCGATAATCGTTTTCTTCTTCTCTTGATTTCTGGCCTAGGGCTATTGAGGAAATCATTAACAAACTGATCACTACTGACATATGATGAAGTTGATGACAAACTATCCGAATTTGAGACAGTATTTGTATTTATTTGAGGTACAGAAGGCAGAGGACATTTCCTTTGTACATGATGTTCGATTTTTGAGTCCAATGAATTATGTTTTCCTTGAACAAAGCTGTGTGACCTCTCCGAACGCCTTGGAATGGGACCAAGTTGAACTGAAGGTGCTTGATTTTCCAATGCTTGTGAAAATTCTGTACAACTCATATCTCTATCAATACTTTAGTTATAATCAAAAAAAGGTTAAAATTGTATACCCTGTCACTGTAGAGTATTCTCCCAACTTTAAAGTGAAAATCAAAATTTGATATTTTAGTAATTTCATGTGAGATCGTTCTTTTATAGGAAAACATACTGAAAATGTTTATAAGATGTTTCTCTATCATATGCCAAAATATCATGGTTTAAATGCTCTCCTAAGTGTCTATAACTGAATTTTAGGGCAATAACCTTATTCTAAATGTTGGGAAAGTAGATTAGCGAAATTTTCAAAGCATTTAAATGCATTTATATGCATTACGAAAGCATCTGATGATTCGAAATCATAATCATATGGACTGAATTGTAAAAACTTTCTTTCTCTGAAAAAAATGATAAGCATTACTCGAAATTGCATCAGCTCATAATTTAGAAAAGGAAATTAATTAGCCTTTATTTATGAGCATAACAAAAAAAGACTAACTAAGAATTTAAATTTATTATTTCGTTTATAATTAACTTTGATTTCTTCTTTTTCTTCTGTTTTTGCATTATCTTCTTCTGTAACTTCAAGTTTTCCTTCTGTAAAACATAAACCTGATGACAAATGATGATTTCCTGGATAAATCGAGCTTACCCTCTCTGTTATTGTGACATCCCAAGCTGTTGGAGGATCTGGAATGTCAATATAACACCCTTTAACTTGAATTTGACTGATTGCAGTGAAATATTTATTTTTGATGTTATTTTTATTAAAACTGCAATTGTTGATATAGAGATTATAATAACTAAGGATGCAGACTTGGCAATTCTGAGGTTATTTTGGCAATTCTTAAAAAATTCCCGGCGAAATTGGCGCCCTTCGGACGCCAATTTCGCCCAATAAGATACACATATCATAGTTATATGTATTTGGTTTTAGAACCTATTTTTTCCTCCTTTTTCTTCATTTTATTTTTAATTTTTTTGTATTTTAATTTCTTTGTGAAAAATAATTCACTCTCTGTTCATTTTGATGAGAGTCCTCTGCTATATTTTGTGAGCAGTTAAAAAAAATATTTTAAAAAATTATTGGAAATATAATAACAGAAATGCATTATATTATTGAGAATTGAATATTAGTTCAACAAATGTATCGTATTCACAAAAGAACTCCACAAAACAGTTCAAATGATTAATATTATTCCAAAATAATCAAAAAATTACATAATAATTCATGTAAGAAGGCCATCTCAGACGTGAGAAAGAATTAGGCTTAAATTCGTGTTGACTAAACGAAACAATAAGTATAAATATTTTGCATTTTTAATAAATGAGCCTGATTTGATTTTACGTGTAGTTAAATATGTTTCAGTGTCATTGTTTCAGCTTTCTTGAAGCTTATGGCAATTGGGCAATTCTCAATAACGTACAATTGCCAAGAAAGTTTAAGGTTTGGCAATTCACTCAAATCGCTGCGAAAAAATAACGTACAATTGCCAAAACCAAAATTGCCTTGGCAATTGTACGTTATTTTAAAAAGAGTTTACATTGAGTATCTCTAGTTTCACTATAACATAATACACAACATCACAAAAAACATAAATCCTTCGGTAAAAATATCAAATGATTCAATTTCAGACTTAAATAATGCAAAATTTACTAATTTTTTTCAAAACTTCGCTCATCCAAGAATTGCCAAGCTTGGCAATTCGTGATGAACAAAATTTGCGCTTTTGGCAGTTCCGACATCCTTATAATAACTGAATATAAAGTCATCACATTTATTTTCGAAGTAATTGCAAAAAAGAATTATAAATTCAAACGAATCAGATGGTTCAAAATGATATACAATATTGTTTTTCGTACTTGTGTTGTTTGAAAATGTTGAAAGTGTTAAGTTTGAGTTAGAAGTATAAGCAACAGTGTAGAAACTTTCGCAATTAAGGATTGAATGTGAAATATTGATTGATTTCATATTTACTTCACCATTACTCAACAAAATATTATTATATCCTTGCGTATTTTCTTCACTGCTTAAAGTAATTGTTGAATCAAGGATGTAATTCTTAAATGGAGATTCATGTGAAACTGAAATAGAACAATAAGCGCCTTTATCTATTGTGTTAGAGCCATAACTGCAGATTCGGTCTTGAACACACTCACCCTTATTACAACTTACGTATAAAGAGCCGCCTGCTTTGCTCTTGTGCATACATTCGTCAAAAGAGCTTGTATCAATGAGAAATTTAATATTTTTATTTGTTTCATCTGTGATACGAACTGCACCTGTCTCATTAAGGGAAATAAAGAGACAAAGAGAGACGTAATAACTGTTTGGTGACACAGCTTCGAGCTCTTTGCTTTCATTTTTGTATGGTGTGTATTCGATTGTGGTGTCAAAGAAATCTAACCACTCCTCATGAGAATTAGAGGGAAATATTTGAAATGGATGAATTTAATAAATTTAAATACTATCATTTCACTCACTATTCACTCTGAACTAAAATAAATTTCTTAGAAATGGCAGCATTTGGAAAAACATTTCTTAGTTAAAATTTTGTAAAGTGTCAAAAGTGTCATAATCTCATGGTGGACAGCTGGAGTCACCACCGACTATCCACTTGCTAGGATACTACGCAGCATTTGATCTGGCCAATCATTGTACTGCTCCATCCACATCAGCAAGTGATTTCGGCAGGAGATCTCCAATCGATCTTCCATTAGGTTCTGCAAGCCAGAAACACTGCATACTGCAGTCTAGCAGTCTATAGTAGTGCAACTGGGCTGCGTAATTATTGTGCTTCTGGCGATATTAGTTATACAATCTTAAGTTATCATGTATGAGCTGCTTAAATCTTGTGGTAAGGAAAATCTAATATAAAAGTCTTTATAGATATAATGGTCTGTACAATAATAAAATTTACCTTATGTTATCTAGTACTTAACATCCAACAAATATGTTCTCAGATTTTGCATTGGGATATCCAAAACGAAAGTATTTACGAATAAGACAAAAAAATACAAACTAAGAAATTAAATTTATTATTTCGTTTATTGTTTACTATAATTTCTGCTTTTTCTTCTGTTTTTGTCTTTTTTTCTTCTGAAAATCCAAGTTTTAGCTCTGCATAACATAAACCTGAATTCAAATGATGATTTTCTGGATATATTGAACTTGCATTCTCTGTTATTGTGACAAGTCCAGCTATGACAGGATCTGATATGTCAAAATAACATCCTTGAACTTGCATTTGACCGTCTGTAGAGAAATAATTATATTTGACATTATTTTTATAAAAATTGCAATTATTGAGATAGAGATTAAACTGACTATCAATAAAGTTTTCGCATTTATTTTCGAAGTAATTACAGAAAAGAATTGTAAATTCAATTGAATCAGATGATCCATAATGAATTACTTGTTTGAACTCTGTAGATGTGTTGTTTGAAAACGTTGAAAGTGTTCCGTTTGAGTTAGAATTATAATGTACATAGTAAAAACTATGGTAATTAAGTTTTGAATGTGAAATATTGATTGATTTCATATATGTTTCATCATTCACCAAATCAATATTACTGTTTTCTTTTGGATTTTCTTCACCACTTGAAGTAATTGTTGAATCAAGGAGATAATTCTTAAATGGATATTCTTCTGAAACTGAAATATAGCAATATGCGCCTATTGTAACCGTGTTAGAGCCAAAACTACAGATTCGGTCTTGAATACACTCACCTTTTGTACAACTTATGTATAAAGAGCCACCTTTGTCGCTCTCGTGCATACATTTGTAAAATGAGCTTGTATCAATGAGGAATTTGAGTTTTTTGTCTGTTTCATCTGTGATACGAATTGCACCTGTCTGATTAAGGTAAATAAAGAGACAAAGAGAGACATAATAGCTATTTGGTGAACTATTGTCGAGCATTTTGCTTTCATTTCTGTATGGAGTGTATTCATTTGAGGAGTTATAGAAGTTATCCCACTCCTTGTGAGAAATAGAGAGAAACATATGAAATTGATAAGTCTACTGATCATTGATATAATCATTTCAATCATTCTTCATTTGATCTAAATAAATTAATCACAGCATTTCTAAAGAAAAATCTTTCATCGTTTTTTTTGTAAAGAAAAAAAAAGTTTAACCTTAAATCCCAATTGATGGAAATTGAGGGCATTGACAAACCGACTACAGTGCACCCAAGTTCCATAAGAAATTTAAGGATTTAAAATAAAGAAAAGTTACCATTAGGGCTTAATTTCATCTTTCATCATCTACACAATTTAGTAAAAGAATTGTCTATTAAAGATATTGATTTGATAGAAAGAAAAAACTAATATAAAAGATGATTTATAGAATAAATAAACATGATAAAAAAACAACAATAAAAATATAAAAAAATATAAAAAAACAAAAAAAGATCAAGGTCCAGGGTTAATGACAGCTTCTAAGTCGTCATCAGATTGCAAACCTTGATGATCAATCTGGCTGCTGTCTACACCACGAAGAATTCCGTCCATAGAATTCATCTTCTTGAACTCGTCGTGAGTGTCTGGCTGGTTGTGTACGAAGTTGTAGTACTTCCATATGGCTCCTGCTGCGAAAACAAGGATCAGAAATGCTGCAAAACAGACACCAAGAATCAAAAGAGTCCACGAATGTTTCTTTGAGTCCGAAAACAAAGGAATATGTGTGTAATTAGTTCCTCGCTGAGATTCGCACTCAACAACTTTGTAGATCAAGTTAAGAGGAGGACAACTAACATTTCCTTCTCCGAAATTATATGTTTCTGTGCACGAAACGTTGGTTTTGTCAAGATATGACGAAAGAAAAACATCTGTTTCATTGTAATACAATGGCAAACATTCAACAGTTGTTGTAAGGTTGTTGTATGTTGTAACAATGGCCCAATCTGGTGAACAGGAATATTCTGGGATAAGTAAAGGGGAATAATCGTAATGTTTATATTTGCCGATGACGGTTGTATTCTCGTAGTAGTAATGGTCGATGTTTTGGTCTCTCGTGAAGTTTATTCTGTTCGCGCCGTAATTTGTTGAATTTAAGTAGCCCCGGAAGTCAAATGAAGGGTACATAGTATCTAGTTCTGTAAATTTAAGCTTGCTGGGGAAGTTAATCGGTGGATTGTTAAGTTCGTCAAAATATAAATTTCCTAAAACACTTTTAGACCACGTAGAGCATTCTGAGTACGAAAAATCGACTGTATACCATCCCATGTCTTCAATGACTGCGAGTGAAGCATCTGTAATAAAACTACGCTCATTTGTCGGATTTGACAAGACATCAAGAGCATAAATGGTTCCTTTCAAGTGCGTTTCATCCTCATCAAGCTGGAGACAAATATCTTGGCCTTCCCATGTTGATAAGCCTGTTCTGTTCTTTGCAACTTGAATTGCTAAAGGAGTACACTGGAAAACGAAATTCTTAGTAGTTAAATTGCTCGTGTAATTGTATATAGGTAATGGATCGTATCGCTTACCCGTGGACTTATTTATCCAATGGTTAGCTTCATCAGCTCGATATCCCAAACAATGAATGATTTCGTGGAAAAGAAGAAGGAATGTCGATCTGCTGTCTGATTTCTCACTCTGCGGGAATGAGCTTAAGTATTCTGCTTTGATATTTATCACAGAAATAATTGGACGTCCGTGTTTGTTGTAATAAAGATTTTGGCTGGTAATTTTCTGCGTAGAGTTAAATGGCCTTGAAATAAGAAGTATATAGTTGCTTGAAGTCATGTTTCCGCTCTTTGGGAAAAGATCGTCGTATAATGTGCCTTTTACATCAGAAAATTTGATCGATTCGGTCTTTCTTACTCTAACGATCTTTGAAAAGTAGTTTTTTAAATTAATACTTGTTTCTTGAATCGCATCCATTTTATTTGAAGTGATAATATCCTTTTCTGTGCATGTATAGTTATACCCGTTCCAAATTATAACTTGATCGACCGCCGAACATTGGTAAACATCTTGTCCAGTTCGTAGATATTCAAAATTTATTTCTATATCTAACGAACTTCGCTGATAATCTCTTTCTTCAACGAATGAGTATAACGAACTATCTGGCTTTGCCCATGAGGCAAGCGCCCGCTTAACAGGACCATACCCTGCCTGAAAAAAAGAGATAAAAAACATTCAAAAATATTGAAAATTTTTTATCGGTAATTTTTGAGATTTTTGAGTTTCCTTTTAAATATATAATAGCTGATATTCATACTATTATATTTTTACTTGAGCACATTCAATTAACAAACCTTGATCATTTCTGTCAAATGTGTATGAATGATCTTAATAATGCATAAACTTCCATAATAACAATCAATTTTTCGTCAACAAAGCTTATTAGAGATAATTTTTGTTTGAATTTCATCATTTTTAGTTTTCGATACTATGGATATTAGGCATTTTAATACAGCTTATTTGGTCAAGTGATTAATGAGCTCCAACAAGTTTCCTTCCTTTAAATTCTATCATTTCATTGGAAAAAAACCTAAGTTATTATAATAAACATCATCAATCGGTCCATAGATTCCAAGGGTTTAAATTTTGAATTTTTACTACACTTTCTGCCAAGTTCAATTTGAATCGGTACGATTATTTCGTTTTCAATAATTTTATCCGATTGCACTTTTTTTCAGAAATACGAAATGGAGAAAATTCAAAATCCTGATGAAATGAAAGATATTGAGATATCAAATATTCAAGAACAGGACAATACGATGAATATTGAATCGAATAATGCCAAAGATGATTGGTATTCTCTCTTAACATTTTTCGTTATCATTATTTGCTCAGGTATATCAGGATATTTTGGTCCAAAAGTTACTGTTATAGATCAGACATTTCTGTTGATATCATCTAACTATCCTATTGTGTTTCAGAAATCGTTTAGTTCATTATCATTTAAAAATGAAGGTATTAACATACATGCAAACTATTTTCCTGCGAAAAACTCTACCGACTTGAATTACCATATTGAATATCATGAATTCTTTCAAACGTATTTAAATGGAGTTCAAAATCACGTGTCTTCGAATGTTCATTCGCAAAATTTCACAGTGAACAACATTACTAATGACTTTCTAATATGTAAATTACCTACATATGATATGGATAACTTTACTGCGAATATAAATTTCAAAGAACATGAAAATATTGAGAAAATCATGATCAAATGGTCATATACAAACGAAAACTATACATTGTATATGCTTGGAATTCGAATTTCTTTACTTGCATTGATTTTATGCACAATTTTAACTTTTTTCACCAGACTTTTCAGATTCGGATTCAAATCATGGCGAATTGAGCAGACTTTCTCAGTTTTATTCCTTATGATAACTGAATTTTATACTATTTCGGAGTTTTTCGCTAGAATTTTATATGAAATCAAATTATTAGTTGATTTATGTATTATATTGAAGTATATTTACGATATAATCTTTCTTTTGTTTATAACCACTTCAATTAATGCTATTTTACTCAACAACACTAGATATTTGAAGATATCTAATTTAATTGCATGTTTTTATTATGCTTTATTGATATCACTTGGCGTTTTTGATACTATTAATAATAGATCAAGTATTGTTTATTCATATTTGCTCTATTTTGGAGTTGTATTTGTTATTTTGTCTATTTTTGTGACATTTTTCAGATTAGATCCAACAGATTCCCAGAGATTTCGCTTTTATTCTTTCATTTTCATAGAGTTTATCTTCTTACTTGTTGTTGTACCACATTTGAGTGATTTAAAGATACATAACACTGAAACAATTTCGTATCTCATCAGATTGACAACAACAAACGCAATTCCTATTATCAATGCTTTTTATCATCTACCTTATGAGTATTCTATTGACTCTAAATACCATGTTCCTGATGATAAAATTTACAACGACATCTGATTGATTGATGACGTTGAAGAAAAGAAAGACGATCAAGAAGATAAAAAAGAAGAAACAAATGAAAATGTTTAATATTTGCGGAATTTAAGTGTGCACTTACACTGTATGACACGGCTTTCAATTTTGTACTTCACGCCCAGTGTCAACAATTTGAATTAAAGTCAGTAGGACGTAAGTTCGCTCTGTATAAAAATCTTTATAAATGTTAGAATTCTCTAATGACATATTCTATTTACTTTCTTTCTAATGAAGTATACATTATGGAGAACTATGATGAATATAATTTGATTATAACCATTGTGCTTGCTTTCGAGCAATTTGAATAGGAGAGTAAGAAATAAATAATAAATATTGATATTATTGTTCATTGAATCATTACTATATTTATGAATGGTTCGTTTTAATAATCGCTTTACAAAGGCTTATTTATCTCTCGCCAAACTCATATGATAATTATCAAATAAACACGGATATCCCAGTTCCATTAAATGTCGGATACCTATTTTATAAAGAATATGGAATTAAATTAGACAAAACGGATAATTTCGAAACAATTAAATTAGAAGATCTCAATTTTAGTACAGAAGATACAATTTACAGAGCAATTATGTGTGATGACTTAGAAAGATTCATTGCATTCACAGAAAGAGGAGGATTTGATAAGAATCAAAAACTCAAATGCAATTTTTTCCCATATTCTGAAGAAGGATATTCATTACTTGAATTATGTTGTTACTACGGAGCAGTTGACTATTTTAAGTTATTAAGAACTAAATTTAACTCAGAAATAACACAAACATGTCTCAGACTTTCATTTTTAGGAGGAAATCAAGAAATCATGAGTGAATGTTTGAAATATCAAACACCAGATGAAGAATGCATGGAATATGCAATTATTTCTCACAACATTGATTTTGTTACATTCTTGATGAATGAATACAATTTAGAGATGGATTTAGAAAATTGCGGATGGTATAATAATATGGAATCGATTTTTGTTTATTTTGATCAAACTAATGATGTTAACAAATGCTTTCTTTATTCAGCAAGGTTCAATATTCCATCCTTACTCGAATACTTCTTTTCGCGTGGTGCAAATATTAATGAAAAAAATAACGATGGAGAAACTGCACTTCACATTACAGCATCTCAAAATAGTATAGAAACAGTTGAGTTTCTTATTTCACATGGTGCAAATATCAATGAAAAAGATCAATTTGGACAAACTGCACTTCATTGTGCAGCAGAAATTAATAGGAAAGAAATAGCCGAACTTCTTATTTCACATGGTGCAAATATCAATGAAAAAAATCAATATGAAGAAACCGCTCTTCATAAAGCAGCATGGCATAATAGTAAAGAAACTGCCGAAGTTCTCATTTCACACGGTGCAAATATAAATGAAAAAGATGAATATGGAACAACCGCTCTTCGAAAAGCAACATTGAATAATAGTAAAGAAACAGCCGAACTTCTTATTTCACATGGTGCAAAAGATGAGTATTTCTACATAAGATGCTTATTGTTTAATGCTCTTCTTGTCATATTTTAAACAAAAGCAAAGATAATTCTATCATAAAAACAAGAATTGATATCAAATTTGAAATAAATATATTTTCTATTCTTTTTATGCCTCTTGAAAGCATCTCAACCAGGCATCTTTTAGGAAAAATCAGCGTGAAGCTCAGCGGTTGCGATGCCAAGGTTCAATTTATTTATTGATTTAAGTTTATCAAAGTATTTTAAATTTGAGGTAATGAAAGAATTATTTTCGATTAATGTATTTTTATTATTTATTTTAATAAAATTAAATAAATGTAAATCGGTCATAGTGTAATGGTTATCATGTAAGATTGTCGTTCTTTTGATCCGGGTTCGATTCCCGGTGACCGAGCTTTTTTCTTCATTTGCTGATTCTCTATATCTTCTAATATTTGATTCATTTGATTTACTGATGGATTAAAATTTTAGTTTCTATCACAAATATGTCTTGTCTTCAATATATTTTCATTCGTTCAACATTTATTTTTAGAGAATATTTATTAACAATGAACATAAAGACTCCGTTTGAAGAAATGCTGATGCAGTGTTTAATAAGCATAAGCATAAATATGTATGTTTCAAAAGATATATATAAACACTTTCTTCTTTGGTTGATTGAATCAAATATAAGTTGAAAATATAAATTAAAAGAGTAATTTATTTATTTGTTTGTTTGTTTAAACAATACGAACACGGTTTTGACGTGAGATGTGACCAATGATGCTAACATCGTCGTCGTCGTCGTGGAACGAAACAAACTCTTCTTCTTCTGATTGTGAATTGTCAGAAATAATGTCACCAAGAAGCTCCACACGGTTGATAGCAAGACATGGAGGTTCACCGGGGCATGCTTCGTCTTGGATAAGACGAACGTACTTTGTAGTGTATGACTTATCAAGTGTGTATGTGCTGTCTTTGCAGTCCCGCATGCTGTCATCTTTAGAGATCTTGTGAACTGTCTCCCATGTCTTGTTGTCGTTTGAGATCTGGAGTGACCAGCTGTATAAGCAGCAGTGGACGCAGTACGCGTAATCATCCATACAGCAGCATCCTGCGTAGCAGCAGCCTGCTCGAATGTAGTAACCGTTGAACTTGACTTTCTTTGATTTCAAAGAGTACGAAATCCATGGATGTTCATCATAACTGCGACCACAGTTCGAACACCAATCATATCTCTTATCCCATGGTTCAATAGAATACTCTGGCTTAGTCATTTGACGACTTCCATTGATATACTGCTTTGAAGAGCCACTTGATGAAATTTCCACAAGCTTCTTAGGATAAGCCTTCTGAAAGATACCATTGGTACCTGTATAGGCTCTCATTTTTACAAACATCATGGATATCATTAGGAAATGTCACTTTTGGATTTCCTAAAAATGATTATGTTTATTCTCTCGGCCTTTTCATTTACACAGCCACCCGATGGTATATTCAAAAAGGCTTATGGTCAAAAATTAATAAATATTGATGCAAGTGGTTCTTCAAAGCAAGATATTAACGGATCTTTTGATTATACAAAACCAGAGTACTCTATTGAACCATGGGATAAGAGATATGATTGGTGTTCGAACTGTGGTCGCAGTTATGATGAACATCCATGGATTTCGTACTCTTTGAAATCAAAGAAAGTCAAGTTCAACGGTTACTACATTCGAGCAGGCTGCTGCTACGCAGGATGCTGCTGTATGGATGATTACGCGTACTGCGTCCACTGCTGCTTATACAGCTGGTCACTCCAGATCTCAAACGACAACAAGACATGGGAGACAGTTCACAAGATCTCTAAAGATGACAGCATGCGGGACTGCAAAGACAGCACATACACACTTGATAAGTCATACACTACAAAGTACGTTCGTCTTATCCAAGACGAAGCATGCCCCGGTGAACCTCCATGTCTTGCTATCAACCGTGTGGAGCTTCTTGGTGACATTATTTCTGACAATTCACAATCAGAAGAAGAAGAGTTTGTTTCGTTCCACGACGACGACGACGATGTTAGCATCATTAGTCACATCTCACGTCAAAACCGTGTTCGTATTGTTTAAACAAACAAACAAATAAATAAATTACTCTTTTAATTTATATTTTCAACTTATATTTGATTCAATCAACCAAAGAAGAAAGTGTTTATATATATCTTTTGAAACATACATATTTATGCTTATGCTTATTAAATATTATATAGTTATTTATTGAAAAGGAATCGTTATGTTCATGTTTATGTAAACAAATGCTAAATGAATGAAAAATATGCTGAAGGCAAATCTATAAGGATAAGTCAAATGAATCATTTGATGTCTTCATACTCTCCTTTAATTTTTACAAAAATTTCATTTTTATAAAACGCTTTAATTTAGAAACAATTGAAGAAATAGTATCATATATGAACGAGTATTACAATTTACATTGCTGCATACATTATAATTGTATTGATTATTGCAACGATTATCAAAATAAATGTAGCGAGTTCCGGAAAATGGAATAGAAGGTTGCTTTGGCTGAAAAGAGTTTTTTGAAAATGAACAAAATTCGATATTAATTGGCTGACTGGAAAATGATTTTGCAATATTTTTATAAAACACACAATAAGAAAAAAGAATATTGCATTGAGGTCCATATATAAGGAAATAGTTCGGGCATGTGTTATTCACAAAATTTAGATTTTTATTTTTTGAATCAGTAGCAATGTTCGCAGCTCCATCTACGGAATATTTATTATCTAAGCAATTAGAATATGAAATATTAGATATACCAACTCCTTGATAGATAAAAGCAAATGATGTTTCATAAACAGAGTTATATGAGCAATTTATATACTTAATATCAATATTTCCGTTTGTGTGGTGCAGGATATCTGGTTTTGTCGATTGTCGATGACAATTAAAGATTGAAATTAATTCGGCCGAATTATATGAATTTTGTGTGGGTTCGATAGTAACATAGCAATAATGAGCTTTAATATTTGAACAACAATTAGTACAACAAATAGATTTTTGTTCGCAAGTATGAACAGGATCAAGATAGAAGCATGAACCTGAATTACTTGTTGAAATGGTATCGAATAATGAATATTCAATGAAAACATTTGTTGTTGATTTAGTAAAGAAAACAGGAGATTCACCTTCGAAGTTAGAAAAAAGGTTATTGTTAACAAGGTAATTGTTTACCTGTTGACCAACAAAATTTGCAGATGTTAGTCTCCAATAGCTATTCCCTTTGAATATCTCCTGAAACTCATTGCTCAAATATTTTGTTCTTAATTTTTTTGAGATACATTCAAAAAAATTTTTATCATCAAAAAACAAAAATATTAAGAAGCAAAAAGCTCGGTCACCGGGAATCGAACCCGGATCAAAAGAACGACAATCTTACATGATAACCATTACACTATGACCGATTTACAATATTTGAATTTTATTAAAATAAATATGAAAAACAAAGTAATCGAAAATATTCGTTTCGTTCACTCAAATTTAAAATACATTCATAAACTTCAATCAATAAATGAATTTCATAACTATGGATAGCAGCTGTTTCACTCATCACAAAGTGACATGGTAATCAAACATTACCTGTTTCAAATTATTCAAAATTTCCACAATAATTAAAACATTTTTTCAACAAAACAGCAATTTCAATTAATTATTCAAAATTTCGAAAGCAAAACTTTATACATTCATATTTAAACTTCTTTTATTGATCCTTGTCCTATAAAACTCAATCACCCCACGTCGATTTCTTCGATCAAACAATTTATCATTCAATATGATTGCCATCAAATATCCTGATCAAGACATTCTTTCTGTGATTTTCAAAATTACAAATTATGCCTCATTGGCTTTCATCGGAATATCTTTATTTCTGTTTCCACAAAATTAATATAGCTACCAAATCCATATCGATACACCAGTAATACCCACGAGTTTTGGCAGTTTGATTTTTCAAAAACATAAATTTCTCTAATTTCATCAATTCCACTTGTCAAAGCAACGCAAAAAATATAGCTTACTGAATCAAATATATTTCTTAACGCATGGGATAATGGGTCTCCACTATTCTTCGCAGTAATTGTTGAAAAAATTTCAGAAACCGTAAAAATTCTTATTGATAAGGAAAAAATCTCCTCCCGTGTGGATCGAACACACGACTTCCAGATTAACAATCTGACACTCTAACCAACTGAGTTAGGGAGGAATTTACATTAAAGAATTTGAATATGCCAATTTAATATTAATTTAGATTTTTGTAATGAAACATTTGTTATGCACTGATATAATAAACTATGCTTCTATAATCAATAAACATGATCACTACGATTAAGATTAATATCAAACCTTATTTTAAATATTATTTCATCTTATTTTTCTCCTTAAACTCTTAATTCTATATATAAATGCGACCAATATCCTTAATCGTTTTCTTTTCCCGATTTCCGAATACTGTTCCTATTTTCTTTTCATTTTCTTGGGTTATCGAATAGGTTGCAAAAAAGATTGATCTATCGTTTATTTAGTGCATATATGTTTTAATTAATAAACAAAAGAATTTGAAATAAAAATATTACAAACAACAAAATCTAGTCTTCCTTATAGGCTTCTCTTCTTGTTCCATCATGTTATCGGCACAATTTACTGAAGAAGAAATCAATTCTTTGGCTATCTGATCAAACAATTCTACAATACCATCATTTGTTTTTGCCGAGACCATATGAGCTTCTATTATTTTTTTCCAATCGTTAATATGATTAATAGAATCAGGAGAGTCGACTGAGCATACAATTATACAAACTGAAGTTTCTCTTTTGAACATCGGAATAATCGATTTGTATCTTTCTTGGCCAGCAGTATCCCATAGCTTAAGCTCCACTTGCGTATTTCCAACTGGTATAACAACTTTGTAATTCCCTACGGCAATTGTTGAAGGCAATGATGATAAAAACTGTTGATGTGCAATTCTATTTGCAATAGATGTTTTCTCAACTCCAGAATCCCCAAATAAGATGACCTTAAAACTCATCAAGTTTGTTTGGGGATTGCTAGCCATCATCAATTTTTAAAAAATTCAATGAGATACAAAAAGTGCCATAAATAATTTATTCCTTTATGATTTGATTATTCACTGGTAAATAAACCATTAAATGCTGTGCAAATGAATTACATGACAAAAGTAGATCGTTCTCTAGTACTTATTTCTGGTTATCATTGATGATTGTATTTATCCTTTGCTTTCATATCCATTGACGAAATTTTCTTGGTAAAATGCAAACCATTTAGTGGCAGATATTCTGTTCTTTATATATTGCTTAATATCTATTTTTTTACTAAATCTGTTTTATAAAAATGGTGAGAATGCAATAATCACTTAATTGGCAGCTAATGCTTGCTTTGGAAATGACTTCGATAAAACTAATTTTTAGATTATAAACTGATTGTATAAGTTTCGTAGTGTATCAGTATACCTTCATGATACAATTTTAATTCATCTCATATAGCATCGGAAGAAAGAATTACTCACACCAATTAACAATAAATCAATAAAATATTGATAAGAATTATAGATAACATTCGTAGTTTACCATACAAACAAAGTTTACATATTATGTGAATTAGTCTTCAAACATACTGCTGGCTAATCTGCGGCATAAATGATGTTTTCTTGGATAGATGAGCAGTGCAATGAATCGAGGCCTGAGGATACACTCTATTTTTTAGTACAGTGTACCATCTGTTTTTAATTGCGCAGCTTGTCCTGCCTGGTAGCTTAGCAGCTATAGCTGTCCAATGATTACCGATTCTGGCCCTTTCTATAACAATGAGCTCATCTTCCCAGCGTTGGAATGGAGATTTGTCAACATCAGGACAAAGCCTGAAAAGCCATCTTTCACGGCATTGCTTCGGAGTTCTCCCTGGCACAAACTTTGAAATTTCTTCCCACTGAAAAGGTTGGCTTATGCTATCTCTCCCTCTTATCGCACCAACATTCATCTTCTTTCCATCATTACTGCATAACCACGATTGTGTGTCTCATTTAGTGGTGTTGTTTATTTTTTTAAATGTTTTGTCATCATTTTTATCCCATTTCCTCCCTTGTTATGCACTTCGGTGGTAAAATTTTAGCTGTTGGGGTATTCTTTATGATAAAAATAAAATTTAAAATTAATGCTTGTTCTAAAGTTTGTGACAACATATGACATTTTGACAACAGTCCCGGAAATGATTTGTCATGACTTCATCCGTAATGAGTGTAAATGACCCAAAAATAATGTTTTATTTAACGTAAACATTTTATTTCTGTGCAGTTCATATCATCCATTACTTATCATTACCTACATTAATTCAGACAATAAAATATTTTAGTTCATTCATAAATGCGATGGTCCTAATGCGAATACAGTCATAAATTGGTGGCATATAATCTTCACCCAAGCCCTGTTTTGGATTTTGTTGTTGAAAGTCTGTGAATGATTATCCTCCTGGTTCAGTTTGTCGAAAAATGTTCTTTTTTTGCGAATGGTTTATACCTCTGGAGATAAACGTCATTGCCAGCAATAATTTCTGAGTTGTATACATGGGATGATCTTTTTAAAATGAGTGACTATGGTCACCAGGAAAAGTTTTTGTAGTTGCTGTATGAGTTGCGGTGGAAGGTTTTTGCTTCTTTAATTTTCTTCGAACCACCTATTTGCTTTGAAGAGTTGCACAATACAAAAACCTGTCGACTATTTGTTCCCATGCACCAACACCAAACATTGCTTGAGGACCTCTCATCCATAGATGTTAAAATAGAACTAGGGTTCATTAAATCAAACATATGAGATATTATAGGATTGTCTCTTTTGAATCTTAAAATATAGTGTAACTATTCGTTTCTTCTGTTTTGTGTCAGAATATTTTTTATAATATAATCTTATGTTTTCAGGGTATGTAAAATCTTGACTATAATATTTATTTTGTCATACTTCATAATAGATGATACTATTCTCGTTTTTTCTATTGCATTATATCTTTTATATCTATAATAATCTAAATATATGTTCTTTTTGTTTCTACAGTGCGTTCAACACCATAGTCATAAATAATAGTGCTGGAGCTAGGTCAATGTCATATCTCATTTCATAAACTCTTAAATATTTCTTTTGTTCGTCTCCATATAGTTTAAGTAGCAGTTGTTGTCTAATGGAACTTTAACTTGTGTGCCATATTCTTTATAGCTCTACATACATTTCATTGTTATTTTTCGAATGAGTTTTACCGTATACCATTTCTTAAGGACTGTACAAACTCCATCTAAAATATTTTTTTCTTCATTGACAGAAAAGTCGCCAACATAGTTTCAATATTTTTTGTTCCAAACTTTGGTATATTTCGTTAACATATGTTCCTTATCTGCTTCTTCCTAACTCATCGTTAACACTATTTTATTCTTGCCTTCTTCCTAATCATCGTTAACATATTTTTATCTGCTTCTTTGCTAACTCATCGTTAACATATTCTTATCTGCTTCTTTCTAACTCATCGTTACATGATATATCTGCTTTAAGTCTAAACATTCTGAAACCCATCCTGTTCAGCTTTAGTTTTAAAATCTTGATGTCCTTCATGATACCATTCAACCTTTCTATTAATTTCATTATCTTTTTCATACATATTCCTTATCTGTCCTTCTTTAACTCATCGTATCACATATTCCTTATCGCTTTTCTTCATTATGTCATTTAGGAACTTTTATGAATTCCTCATTTAAATTAATCTTCCAATCTTCAAAACTTTAGGAAATGCATTTAATGCGTAATATCTTTGTTCTTCTGGTGGAATTGATGTTATATCATCCGTTATTCCTTTAATTTTGAATTCATAAATAAAATTTCTTTTATATTTGATATCACTGCACCACCTTTGCAAACGAATTCGAAATGGTCATTTTTCAAATACTATCTCCAAATCTCCATATTTCAACATTTGCGTTTGTTCTGCCGTCTTTGAATTATATGCATATATGGCGTATGTAATGGTCTGTGGTTGCTGTTGGTTGTTTAATCATTTATTACATATTAAAATAATATATTTATAGTTATCTCATCAGCTATTTTTTCTATTTGAAATTGCCATAAATTATTTCATTCATAATTTCTAAATCACAATCAAAGTAGGTCGATTATTCTAAATTTAATATTTGATAAATCTTTGAATGAAGAATAAATGAATTCCCGGATAATTGAAACGGATAATGATAAAGAAAATTGTTTAAGTTGATGGATAAAATGTTTTTATTGATGGTAAGAGTTTAGGGTCTAATGTTTGATGTGAAAATCTCATTGGGTTTAACTTTATCACATTTGATTAAAATGAAATTAACCAGTGTCAGAATACAAAACATCCCCAACATCTTTTTTCAAATTTAATATCCCCAACAATGAACGAAGAGGAGGAGTACAAAATTTAATTTTCAGGGAAATTTAATAAGGTTATTTATTTCATCAAGTTCAAAAAGTTTATCAGGTTTTGATTTAAAATTTTCTTCATACCATACGATAAATGATTCATTTAAATAATCTTAAAATCATGTTATATCCATTTCGTATCACATTATTTATTACATATCATTTTTACGTCTACCTTTCATGTGTCATTCTTAATAAATGATTTATATTCGAAGGGTCTAAAAGAATGGGATTTAAATTTACCATCTACTTACAGAAACGAGAGTAAACTTATAAATTCCGCTAACTAGTTTAATTTAATTCACAGTTTTTATTCGAAATAATATTGTATAATTGACATTTTTTTATTACGATTAAAAATATGGTAAAGCGTTATTTTTCCAGTGATAAATAAAACTAGGAATAAGATTAACCTCAAAATTCATAAATTCAACGAATAGAAATTCATTTGTTTTTATAATTTTTTAGTGTTTTCCAACGTACAAATCCATGAGTACAACTGTCATAATTTCATTCTTTCACACAACCTCACAACACATCCACAACGCGGAATTCACTCTATCTCATCCAACCACTTACAAATTTCAAATTTAGTTCAACATCAAAACACACCACACTATAATACACCCTCATGACACATTTCATACCAAAAGATCTATTAATCAGATGGAATCATACTTAAAAATATAAATTGAATAGATTATAAAAACTCTTTTCATGAACATGATTGACAATTAATCGGAATTTTTGGAATTTGGTTTACAAATATCAGACCGTAATGGAAAAGATTGAAAGTTAAACAGCATAAACACTGATCACTACACAAATATAAAAAACAGAAAAAAACAAAAACAGATATAAGGATATGAGCACCGAACATCGATTCTAGTGGGCCAGACATCATTTCGACATCAGCAAAAGAAACATAATATCCAACCACACGAAATCAGACCAAGCACCATGGTGAAACCACCAAGAGTCATCATATTTCACGATCTTAATGCAAATCATCATAAAGGTATTATTATTCACAAACCCACTCACCACATACATGTTTAATAACAACAGCTGAATACTATTAAATGGCCCTTTACCCTAAAAAAGAATATTTCAACAGTGATAATTCTTATAATATTCATACCCAGAAAGACCACACCCACGATCACAAACACCACAACAATCAACAATTGCAAAACAACCAACCACATAGGCAACGACTCCAACCAACAACAACACCACTCAGTTTATATTATAATATAACTCCAATTACAATTACCCGGTTTAAAATGTAGTTTCAGACAACCCACTACAATTCAACACATATGAATGTTACACCGTATCATATACATGATTATCTCCAAAACATACGTGCTACCGGAATTCATCGACGCCCCTTTAATACCATCGCGCATTCACTAACTTTTAGCACCCGACCAACTTGCTTCGCGACAGCCAAATGAAACCACATCAATCCATACAGACACCCGCATCACCTAATGAACAAAATTACGAACATATCTTATAACGTCTGAAATCTTCTTTGAATCATAAGAGGAACACTCACAAACACAAACCAAAAACACCCACATCAAAAAAGACAACTAACAAAAAACACTATTCCACACAAACAAAACATTTGATATGTTATCGACTGCTTGTCTGTATTTGTTCTTGTTTTAGCTGTGTTCATATTTCAATATGAAGAATTTTGTAAACTGTACCTTTATGATTATTCTATTTTATTGATTTTTAGGGTTAATACTGCCTGATTACGAAATTTCATCGATATACAAAAATACAACATTTTTTTGTTCAAGTGTTCATCGAGGGATATCTAAAATATATGATGTGTATTTAAGCTTCGTGCTGTTATGCTATTTAAACAATAAACCATTTTTCAATAGATTTTCCATAAAAGCAAAACGGTGTAATTTTGTAATGAGAAACTAAAATCTAGATCGTTTGCCCATTCATTTGCTAATTCCAAAAATCGGGAAGCAGATGAAGTCCATGTTTACGATAGCATTCAAATTTACAATAAGATTCAAAAAAGTGAATAAAGCAATTTGCATTACTGAAAGTCAATTTGTAATTTAATCTGAAAATATCGATGAGAATTTTTCACTTTGAATTTTTTCAATAAACGTTATGAAAGCTAATTGAAAAAATACCTCATCGTTAAATTTATGAGAAAAAGCATGTAAAAACAGATCTAAATATTAATGACTCAAAAAAATTCGGAAGATAATTATCTTACATCAATAATGGAAAATCCTATCTTCAGCTCTGAGCTCAAGAAGAAAGAAGGACCATTAGAGATGTGGAAAACGTGTCGCTGCGAGCTATATAAAAAGTCAATTGTAATAAAACAAGGTTTCAGTAATCCTTTAATTCAAAATATCGATTTATCATCAAAATTAGAGGTCAATGAGATTCCATCAAATGTTAGATATCAGTTTTCTATCAAGAGTCACAACTCAACAATCTATTTCCTAACAGAAAATAATAACATATTTCATCAATGGGTTGATGCAATCAGATCTATACTTTTAAGCAACAGATACTTAACAATTGATGAATTTACTATCATATGTACTCTAGGACGAGGTTACTTCGGTAAAGTTTTACTCTGTGAACACAATATTACACATGATGTATACGCGATAAAGACTGTTAAGAAGGCTAGAATTATGAATGAGCACAAATTACACACAATCTTCGCTGAAAGGAATATCCTAAGTGTTTCCCATCATCCTTTTATTGTAACAATGTATTTCGCATTTCAGACGGATAAGAAGTTTTACATCGGTTTGGAGTATGTTCCTGGTGGTGCATTATTCAGGTTCCTTCAAATCGGAAGAGCAATGAAGATAAGTGAAGTAAGATTTTATGTTGCTGAAGTTGCATTAGCATTAGACTATTTACACTCCAAAGGAATTCTTTACAGAGATTTGAAGCTTGAAAATGTCCTTTTGTGCCAAGATGGTCATGTAAAACTCACAGATTTTGGACTTTCAAAATTTGTTGTTGAAAAAGGAAATTATCAGCAAACATCAACATTCTGTGGTACCAATGAGTACTTGTCACCTGAAATGATCTCCGATAAACCATACGGATTTGAAATCGACTGGTGGACACTCGGAGTTTTCACTTATGAGTTCCTTTTCACTGAAACACCATTCTATGATAAGAACCTCAAGAAGTTGTATAACAACATCTTGACAAAAGAACCAAGATTCCCTAAAGATACTCCATCTGTTGTCAAAAACTTCATAAGAAGGCTTTTGAACAAAGAGCCAAGCAAAAGACCAACTTTCGAAGAACTTAAGAACGATCCTTTCTTTGATAACATTAATTGGGACGATGTTTACAACAAACGCCTCAAACCACCTTACATTCCAAAGCAAGTCACTGGAAGACGTGCAACAAACTTCGGAGAAAAGAACAGAAAGGATAGAACTGACTCAGATGCTACTTCTGTTGAAAATACTTCTGAATTTGATGGATTTTCATATGCAGGTGATTACTAACTTATTTATTTTGTTTTCTATTATTTGTATTGCAATATAAAGATGAAATGTTTTATAAAACTTAGATTAACCCTATTTTCAAATCATATATTGAAAATTTTTTCATATTATATGTGTTTCGTTTTTATTTCAAGGGATTCTTAATCTATTTAGAGATTTTTCGTTGATGTTTTCATGTTAGTATGTCTAAATTAAATGTTTTATTCATTGATTGAAGTGATTTCCTTTTTAGAGGAATAAATATAACAACTTGGTATAAAAACAATTATATCTATATTTGAATAATAAATAAATATTGTGTTAACATAAGCATTACTTTCCAATAAAATTTGGCAATTCTAATTATGTTGCATTGACAATAAATAAAGTAAAAATGAATTATATATCACATGTAAAGTCAATTATCTATCTGAAACTATATATGTAAAGAACGTGAAAAAAAGAATATTCAGTAATGACGGCAAAAAGCTATTCTTTTCAAAAAATATCATAAGATTAAATCGTAATAAATGATTTAATGCATGATAATTAATGAAATATGCCTTATTTGAATATTCGATCGTGAAATATGGTATTGTAATCATATAAAAGAATAGGATGAGTGATTCAGGATTGAAGCTTAAACTCAAAGAAAAATATTTGCACTCAAATTGAGAATGAAAAAAAATTGAAATGTAAACTTCATAATTTTGAATGAGATGAGTGTAAACAATTCAAAAATCAACTTAAAAAAAATCGAGATCATTGATATATGTAGAAATGTATCCTCTGACTATTAACATTGATTTTGATGGATTTTTCTTTTAATTATTTTTCTTTTTATTTTCCGAATATTCTTTTGGAATTATGATATAACATATGATACTATGAATGTAGCAAAGCTGATTTTTGAGGGCATGGTTTATATTTCTATAAAACTTTTTAAAAACCGCCAAAATAATACAAAAATTGATTTCATTTTGCAATTTTTGTGTAAACTTTTGCGGTTTTTATAAAAAATCGTGTTAATGAATACCAATAACTCTTCAAAAATTCCCAGTATCTATGATCTCCCATTGCCTGTGGGAAGCATGAATCTTTTCTCGCAAGAGTCAGACGCTAATTTCTTATCCCAACTCCCTAAAGATCTCAAAGACGATAAGCTAAAAGGAGTATGGGCTCCTCATGAAGATGAATTGCTCAGGACTGCAGTTACTGAGCATAGCCAACCTTTTCAGTGGGAAGCAAT